GAAAAAAGTCTCTTTAGTCTCTCAAACGCTGCTTGGCACTCCATTGTCCATTTTAGTGGCTGGCTAGGTTTTACTGAGGGTGTTCCCTTCGTTTTTAGTAAGTTAGTGAGGGGCAAGGCTATCTGTGAAAATGAGGGGATGAATTGGCGGTAAAAATTTGCAAAGCCCAGGAAACTTTGTAGTTGCTTTCTTGTGCGGGGTGGTGCCCATTCTAATACTGCTCTGACCTTCTCTGGGTCCATTTCAATGCCCTGTGGGGATATGCGATAGCCTAGGTAGTCTATCCTTTCCTGGTGGAATTCGCATTTTGAGAGTTTGGCATATAGGTGAGCGGCTCGCAGCTTCTTTAAAACCGCTCTGACAAGTTTGACGTGTTCTTCTTTTGTTTCGGTAAAGATAAGAATGTCGTCCAAGTAAACAAGGACCCCCTTAAACAGGTGCTCCCTTAGAACGTCATTGATTAATTGCATAAAGACTGCAGGGCCCCCTTGTAATCCAAATGGCAAGACTTTGAATTGATAGCACCCCATGGGGCAGTTAAATGCAGTCTTCCATTCGTCCCCTTCCTTGATTCTCACTCGATAGTAAGCTTCCCTTAAGTCTAGTTTAGAAAAAATTTTCCCTTTCGATAGGTGTGACAGCATGTCTTTCATGAGGGGCAGCGGGTATAGGTTGCTTTCACTGATTGTATTCAGGGCCCTATAATCCACGCATAAACGTAAAGAGCCATCCTTCTTCTCTCTAAAAAGGACCGGGGCAGCCACTTTAGGCTTGGCTGGCTCAATGAAACCTCTCTCCAGGTTTTTTTTTATAAATCTTTCCATTTCCTCCTTCTCCTTTGGGCTCATGGAGTATAATCTGGGCTTCGGGAGTTTTGCCCCAGGCTTGAATTCAATGGTACAGTCTGTGGGTCGGTGGGGGGGAAGCTCATTCGCCCTCTCCTCACTGAAGACTTCAGCAAGGTCCCTATATTCCTCTGGTATTTCTGTTAATCTTTTTTCCTCTCCTATGGATGCTTTTTCTATTCTTGATTCTGGTAGCCTCCCTTGGGGTTTTAAGTCCATAGGGTCCCCCTTCGGGAATTTGATTTCTGTCGTCCTCCAATTTACCCAGGGGTTCCATTTTTTCAACCATTCCATCCCTAGAATCATTGGGCATTCCATACCTGGGGTCACCACAAACGTTAAGTCCTCTTCATGGTTGCCCAGGGAGAGATGTATTGGCAAAGTGGCTAGGGTAGCTGGCACCCCCCCTGCTATGGATCCATCTAGCTGGCCAAATGAGATTGGTTGTTCCAGTCTCCTGGATGGGATGCCCAGATTCCCCACTAGTGTTGGGCTAATGAGGCAGCGGGTACAGCCAGAGTCTATTAAGGCTTTCACCTTCACAGCTTCGGGCATGGGGGGGATTAATATAGTCACTGTTTTGAAGATGGGTGTGATGCATCCACTTACCAGGGGTTCGCCCTCCGAGCTGTCATCTGAGGCATCCACCGGCCCTGTGGTGTAGGCTGGAGTCCTTTCCCCTTGGTGAGCAGAGGTGGGGGTTTCTGCAATTTCCATCATTCTCATGGCCGTTTCTTTTGGCTTAGCTGAATACTTTCCGGGTTTGTTGATTGGGGATCTGTCTGGGTTGTGCTGGGGGGCCTTTGAGCGGCATTCTACAGCTCGATGCCCTTCTCTTCCGCACTTGAAACATCTCATTTGCTTCTTGGCTGTATCCGATGATTTCACCGGTTGGTGTGTCAGCTCAGGCGGGGGGCGGCTCCATTGTTTTCCTCGGCGGTGCCTCTTCAATATGTCGATCTCTGCTTCCTCTGCCAAGACGTACCATTCCTCAAGTCGATGTGGGTCCCCTCGGGGCAGGCAAGCATCATATAGATCATAGTTTAGTCCGTCTTTGAAATGGCCAAGGAGGATGTCTTCTGGCCAATTCAGTTTGCTGGCAATGGCCCGGAATTCTTGTGTATACTCAGCCACTGGGCGTTTGCCCTGCCTCATCGTTGTTATTCTTTCACGGGCTTTGCGATCAGCCAGGGGGTCTTCAAATCGTCTTCTCAAAGAGGACATGAAACGGTTGAAGTTACTGAGTTCTGGGGCATTGGAGTCATGCAAGTTCACTACCCAATCCGCAGCTGGTCCATCCAGGGCAGATTGCACGATCCGGATGCGGGCTTTGTCGCTGGGAATATCCTGCCCATATTCCTCCATGTAGCTGAGGACTTGGGTTAGGAAAAATCCCAAGCGTGTTGGCTCCCCTTTGAATTTTACTTCCAACGGTGGACGTCTTGGAATGGATCGGTGCCTCTGTTGTGGGTGGTAGTGCCTTCCGTCCAGATTGCCATCTGTGGTCCGGTAGGGGGTGGGAGCTCCTGGATCAGTAGATGTCCCTGGGGTTGCAGGTTCCACGTCCCCTCGGTGTCTCTCCCTTTGCGGCTCCAGGAACTGGGGCAGCCGTAGGGTTCAGTATTCTCCTCTCCTAGGGAGCTGAGAGTTCTCTTCATCAGGTCAATAGCTTTCTCTAGGATCCAGTCTGAGTACGGTGCCCAGCTTTCTCCCTCTTCACTTGCGTGCAGGGATTTCTCCATCTCCTGCTTCCATTCTGGTTGCTTGGTCCCCCGTCTCAGGGTCACCTTTCTTGATTCCTTTCCCCACTCACTTTTCTTTCCAACGCCCATCGACCAGCGAGGCTTGTGGTCCTGTGTCTCCACCACTTCTTCTCCTGAGGAATCTGGCCTCTCGGATCCCAACATCTGGCAAGGTTCCAACTGGGTCAGCGGCTCTCTTTCCAGGGAGTTTTCCCCCTCTCTTGCTCCATTGTCTGACATGGTAAATTTTTGCAAAATCCCCCGGCAAGGGTCTTCCTTCCAGGTGGATTAATTTTGCAAGTCCTGTCTAATGTAAGGACCCACCCTACTTTGCATCTTAAGAAGACAGAACTCTTGGAATAATTCTTCCAACAGGAATCCTTTATTAAGAGAAAATGGTTGCAGGCATGCTAGACAGGACTTGGGGTTCAAGCTCTCCCATTCAAGGTTTTAAGGGGTTCCCCAGTAGTCCCACCCAATCAACCCCCCTTCCAGTGATAGTTTCAAGTATCACAATTCCATCCCCTTTCTTCTTCCGTCTGGATGGAGACTTCAGATAACTACATGAAAGGCAATTACTCTTCTTTGATATGTTAACGCTTAGAGGCCACAATAAACACACATTCAGTCCTTTGAAGTGTGCTGAAGGAAGTGAGGGCCATAAAGCCCCTTTGCTCTCCCCCTTTTCTCCCTCTTATGGCAGAATCCAGAGAAGGCAGAATTGGGAGTTTCTATGTTTGATAATTAAAGATGAAATCTAATTGGATTCTGACACCATGTATATATAAATCTGAAATAAATTTGCAAACCAAATTGGACTTTGCAACAAAATACTGTCCTATTGAATGCTTCTGCTCTGGATTCTTGTCAATCAGCCATGTCCCTTTTTAAGGATGCTCCATTTCATATCCTTTTTTTAAAACATTCCCTACCATTCTTTCACAACAGTTAGTCAGCATTAGGTGGCTATTGAGCATGTACTGTCTTCACTGGGTGGTGGTGGTGGTGATGGTAATTGGGACTTCCTTTCTGTTGGCACCTTCTACCCCAGGTTGTTTTTATACTTCTGAAAATGGGGACTTCCTCAGCCACCTTTACCCTTCTCTTTTTTTGTGAAATGTAATATTTTACATTACAAAATGATAGACACATAGATTTGCTGTTATATATAATATCATTAGCATTTTGGAGTCTTACCAAAATATTGAAGTCAAGGCAGTTTTCCATATGGATAACTTTTAATACTTAGTATTGCCAAAGCATGTCCATCCCTGGTTACTACCCTCAAGTGCTCTTTAACCACCTTTTATATGGATAGAAAAAATATTTAAAGGTTAAATTAGGATGTGTGTTGTGTATGTGTCATTAGAAAACCAAGATAAATTCCAAAGTCCTGTAATTAATGACTATTAGGGTTCTCATAGAATGAGGTAGATACAAAAACAAAGAGTCTGGTGAGGTTGGGGTATTTGGGTTTAAAAAAAAACAGATGCTGGTATGTTATGAAAAAACAACTTAATTAAAGCCCATTGTATTCTGCTTGTTTAATCCTATGGATGTTCTGAAATGAGAAATATGAAACAAACAGGAACTTACAATCATTTATATTGTTCATATAATCTGGTTTAAAGGGCTTAGTAGGTCAGCCAGCAATCAGCTGCAGAAGAACCAGAAGATGGAGAAAAACGGGGTAATAAGAAGGGGGTTGAGCATAATCAAAGTCAGGATTTAGGAGATCATAGTGACAGGACCAGATCGGGAAAAGAAAGTCCATGAATGTCAGTCTGCTATCTAAGTCAGCTGCAGAAACTGTTTCCAGGAATGGGAGACTTTTGTAGCCTGATCTTCAGTTTTAAGGCAGGGAAGGCATAAGATGGGACTTACTGTAGTAGGTCCTATACCACTAACACGCATATGACCAACATGGATCTCACTTTTTACCATTCATGAGCATATATGCAAACTATTATCCATATTTAGCCCTATATACACAGGCATACACCCGAACATATATATCAATCAGAATAGAGCTGGAAAGGATCTTGGAGTCTAATCCCCTGCTCAAGCAGGAGATCCTATACCATTTCTGACAAGTGACTGTCTATAACCTCTTCTTAAAAACCTCCAGTGATGGAGCGCCCACAATTTCTGAAGGCAAGCTGTTCCACTGGTTAATTGTCCTCACTGTTAGGAAGTTTCTCCTTAATTCCAGGTTGCTTCTCTCCTTGAGTAGTTTCCATCCATCCTTGATTAGTTTCCATCCAGGTTTTTCCACCAAACTTCCTTTTATATTAGAATTCAAATGCAAATGTGCTCTATATCTACCCTCCATCAGTAAACATACACTTGCTTGGAGTCATTAGATTTCACCTCAGCCTTGTTTCTGTTCTGTTTTTCTTTATTTCATCTTCAGCCGTTATGACCAGACAAAAGGATGTAGAAAATCCAAACACTGAAGCAAAGATTTCCACTTCCTATATACGGAGTCTACATGCATCCAGTACATCTGGAAATGATAAAGTAAGGACGTTTTGGACCAACCTCGCTTCAGCATCTGTAGCTGCCACAAGAAGTACCACATCTTATACCAAACTAATCAGATCTGTGAATGTGACACCACAGTTATCTCAAATGACACAAACTAAGCGAGCAAGTGCCTCACCAAATATGGTGGGTATTGCCAGTTCTGAATCAGTGACTTTGAGGAAGCATTTTCCCAAGACAGCAAATTCTCCATTTTTGGAGAAAAAACATCCAGGTGAGTTTCATCATCAGTATCTGAACTGTTGACCTAAAATGGGGAAAAGACACTGAAACAATATAATGTATTACATGATTAGGCAACCATATAGGGAAGATTGGAGTTTTGAAAATGTTTTTGTAGGTATTTTCATAATATAAATACTGTAACTGGGCATACTTTTTAAAAAATAGAATGGCTGCTTATTAAGCATAGCAGGTCACAAAGTAATTTATTTGTATGTGATGATGCCATATGGTAAATGGTAGCTAATTATCAGAATCCCCCCCCCCAGATAATTACCCACCCACAAAATTAATCAAATACAACATATAAATAAATCAAAAACATTTATATATCAAATTCAGTTACAGCATGTCTCCCTTCCTGCATTTAACATAATAATCAGGATATAAAGGTTCTCCTGAAACCCAAATGGGAAGGAGCAGACCAGATCTCCATTCTTGTATGCTTGGATTTAGAATCTTATACTCTAAGCCGGGGTCGCCAAACTTGGCAACTTTAAGACTTGTAGACTTCCATTTCCAGTATTCTTCAGCCAGCCATGAATTCTGGGAATAGAAGTCCACAAATCTTAAAGTTGCCAAGGTTGGATACCCCTGCTCTAGGCATATGCATTTGTAAAAAAATTTAAAATGTTGTTTCATACAGGAAAACTGATTTTGATGACATAATCATAAGATAGAGGCTTCATTTCTGAGTGGAGACATGATAGTGAAAGGCAAAAAATTAAGGAACACTATCCTTGCATTTACTTTTTTTTTTGCTTATAATCTTCATGAGGTGGGTTAGGATTAGGGTTTTATATATATATCAAAGGGGGTCATGCTTCAATGAGAAAAATATTGGAATAAAAATAGTCTGTTTCTCCTCATCCCCCTCTGAAACATGTTTCAGCTTACTCAGAATTAAAGTTTATTAATGTTTTTCCATTTAATGCTTTTCATTAGGAAAAAAAACCCCAAGTAAAATAGAAAAGTTTGTTTGCTGTTACTGTACTACTATTATATTTACATTTAAGAGATTTTCTTCCCTTGGTATATTTGTCTTTCATTACAGATTTCAATGCATTGTTCATTTTTAAAATTATTATTTATTTATTTAAATATATTGGCCACCAAATTCCAGTGGACTCTGGGTGGCACACAAAAGTAGAAAAAAAACCTTCTTTGTTAGCCACTCAGAGTATGGATTGATAAGTGGCCAGCTCTAGAAATTAAATCATAAACAAAGAAAGGCATAATGAAACAGCCCTGTTTCTTATTTCAGCCATTGAGAACTACCACCATACAGCTAGTACCTGGAATGAAGACAGCACAACTTCCAGTTTCCATACTCCAGGCATGGACAGTTCAGCCACACTCAGTCAGAGTTCAGAAAGGACTTCCCGCTTTTTTAGAGAGAACTTCACTGGAAATGGGCCAGCTACTCCAAAAGAACTTGCTACATCTTCTGGTCAAATCCAATGGTCACCTCATGTAACATTGCCAATACCCCAAAGTAGGACATCGAATGCTAAACAGCCTGATTCTTTAACAAGGATTGTGCTTACTCGGTCTTATACTTCTCCACAAACTAGTATGTATCTTTCCATATTTTCTATTTCTTACTATCAGAAAAAGCAGGTGATACTACTATACATCAGGGTGGACAAACCTTTGGCAGCCTTGAGTTTACAATTTATATTTCATGGCAAGCTTGGATTGCAAGAATAGCAATTTTGATGCAATGGGATGGAGCTGCAACGCCTATTCGGGGGCAAGATTTTTTCATTTTTTTCTTTTTCTTAACTGTTTTTCTAGAATTCATATAAAGGTTTCTTTGGGTACTCTGCCTTAAAACAATGGTAGACTACCATCTGTGATTGACAGCATGGTTAAAAAAGACTACAAAGAATAGGGCTGGGAACTTGTCATGATTCTGCTCTAGAACATTGCTCTAATTTAATAATGGACAGGATGGAAGTGAACGGGCTGACATTAAATCTAGACAAGGCAAATGTGTTGCTGTTCAGTAGGCAATCAGAGATCCAGTATATGCTAAGTTGGTCTGCATTTCCTCTTCAAGAGTAAACCCACAATCTAAAATGCTCCTTAATCCTCCATATTGCAGATTTCCAAACTGCAATAGATGGTGTGAAACACTTAAAGAGAACTTCTTTAAGATAGTCCTGAACTTCAATTGATATAAAATGGGCTGGGTAGGATGGAATATATACTGAGGAGACTAAATTGGGGGAAATCTGTAATTATCAACTAAACAAAACCAATCTTTCTCTCAATAGTTGCTGGAAAATACTAAACTTTCTCAATTTAGATGTCAAAATAAAATGAATTTATACAGCAGTGCAAAACCTTTTCATATGTGGATAGGTTACTGTTTTGCTTTTTGTTTTGTTGATTTAGGGTGAAGGCTTAGGTCTCAAAACCTTCATTGGGAATAATAAAAAACACTAATATATACCTCATATCTGCTCCCTTTCCCCTCTCCTTGCTGTGTCTTTTATCCTTTTCAAAATGAAGCATGAAATTATCAGGAATAAGTCTGCCAAGTAACACAGCTTGGCAAGAAACATGTCTTTTTAAATTTGTGTTTCTACAGCTGCTCTTTTCTATGGAATAGTTGCGTTTTCTTTATCTGTTTTCCATTGTTTGTGTGAGAGAAACTGTCAGGACTTGAAGAGGCCTTCAACAAATATTTTGAAGGTTTTTCTGCCTGTAATTACTCCATACTATTGTCAAATAATTCAAATCTCTCTGGCATTTTTTAGAATTGTAGCTTGGCAACCTTCACTGTAAAAGTATGAGTGTGTAGCTTGCTGAGTTCATAGAAATAGTTTACTCCGACATAAATGAACTCCATAAACAAGCAAATGATTTCCACTAGAGTATTGCATCCCAGTAAATGAGATCATTAAGACAACACAGAACATATTAGTCTTGCACTGACTGGTCTTTATAGCTTAAAGTGGATAAAGTTATAATAACAATACCAGCTTTGTTCACCCCTGAGAATGTTTTGCCAGCACTGCTTGGCACTAATCTGACATGTGGGGCAGAGCTAATCTGAAGGTGTGTTGCTCTGACTTTATTAATTTCTGCCAGCTTTCTTTAAGTTGATTTCTTGAATATTTCAATTTTCTGCATTGAATAGAAGAAAAGCAAGCAATATAAAAATTCACAGGAGTCCGCAACATGGCGCAAACTAGACACCCCTCCACCACTGGAATGCTGGTTGGATGCCTGCAACCCTCATGAAATAAAATATTAAAATATTGATAAATTTATGAGAGATGATTGAAATCATTTCAAGGTTTGGATTGGGCGTTTGGGCCATTGCGTGATCGCATGGAATCATTCTAGACAAGCTAACTGAGCATTACCTTAACATGTAGAAAGAAAAACCACTATGATTTTATTCTTAGGGTAATGTCACATATCACACTGAACCATAACAAACATGATGTGTGAAGCAGACTATTGATCTTATTGTGCCTGATATCCTGATTTTAGTTCTGTTTATATATGCTTTGTACTCAACTCATTAATTATGTGAAACTTTAGTTCAACAAAATAATCCTAAAATTTGTATCATGCAAAGGTTTACTCAGAAGTTAATCCCACTTGTGTTTGATACATCACTGTATTGAGGCAGAGCAATAAGACTTTCCTAGCATTAATTACAACATGGACAAGGGACAATGTGTTTGGGTCTTCCTCTCATTCCCTCTGCATTACTATGCCAATACATTTGGGATTGTATAGCAATGTTTTTAATTGTACCTGTTTCAAGGTTAAAGTTTCCTATTAACACTTTGAACCATTGTTTCTTTCCCAAATGTTTATAATTTTTGTCAAATTAGAAGCCTAAGAAATTGACTAGCCTTCTATTATATTTGCGCAAATATAATTACTGTATGGATAAAATTTGACAGATTCTGCCAAAATATGCAGGTTGCATATATAATTTCCTTTTGTTATTTTATTTATGAAAGATACTCATCAGTTAAGCAGAAACTCCAACATAGAGAGAAGAATTTCCAGGTCTGATATGGAGTATATGACACTTCTGAACATATCCAATAAAAGTGAGGAGAAGATATTTCAAACTATAAGAGACATCAGCAGTTCTCAAGATCCACATTCTAAATCTGCTGTCTCAAACCTTGAAATGTCCACCAGTGGGGAGAAGATACTACGAACGGTCAGAGACATCAGCAGTTCTCAAGGTCCACATTCTACATCTGCGGTCTCTAATCTTGAGATATCCACAAATGGGAAGAAGACACTACAAACACTCAGCGATAGCAGAGGTTCTCCAAATCCACATTCTGTGTCCACAATTCCTAACCTTGAAAGATCCACAAATGGGGAGAAGATACTACGAACGGTCAGAGACATCAGCAGTTCTCGAGGTTCACATTCTACATCTGCGGTCTCTAATCTTGAGATATCCACAAATGGGAAGAAGATACTACAAACACTCAGCGATAGCAGAGGTTCTCCAAATCCACATTCTGTGTCCACAATTCCTAACCTTGAAAGATCCACAAATGGGGAGAAGATACTACGAACGGTCAGAGACATCAGCAGTTCTCAAGGTCCACATTCTACATCTGCGGTCTCTAATCTTGAGATATCCACAAATGGGAAAAAGATACTACGAACTCTTAGAGATAGCAGAGGTTCTCAAAATCTACATTCTGTGTCCACAATTGCTAATCTTGAAATATCCGCAAATGGGGAGAAGTTACTACGAACTCTCAGCGACACCAGCAGGTCTCAAGGTCCACATTCTACATCTGCTGTCTCTAATCTTGAAATATCCGCAAATGGGGAGAAGATACTACAAACTCTCAGAGACATCAGCAGGTCTCCAGGTCCACATTCTACATTTGCTGTCTCAAAACATGAAACATCCACCAATGGGGAGATGATATTACGAACTCTCAGAGACACCAGCAGATCTCAAGGTCCACATTCTAAATCTGCTGTCTCAAACCTTGAAATATCCACAAATGGGGAGAAGATACTACGAACTCTCAGAGATAGCAGAGGTTCTCAAAATCTACATTCTGTGTCCACAATTCCTAACCTTGAAATATCCACAAATGGGAAGAAGATAATACAAACTCTCAGAGACATCGGCAGGTCTCAAGGTCCACATTCTAAATCTGCTGTCTCAAACCTTGAAATATCCACCAGTGGGGAGAATATACTACAAACTGTCACAGAGAGCAGAGGTTCTCAAAATCCACGTTTTGTGTCCACAATTCCTAACCTTGAAATGTCTGGCTCTTCAGGCCCCAATGATTCTTCTTACGTGGTAGTGCCTGCAGACTCCCAACAAATGGAACTGTCAACACAAGACACTGTTGAAACTAAAGCAACAGACAGACATTCTCAGTCTCTTTCTGCAACTACAGGTAAGGAGAGGGATCTTGCATATGATCAAGATTTCAAAGTAGTCTTTTATTCATGTAGGGATAGAGCCAAATGTTCTAGATCAATAGAAAAAGACTAAAAAGAAAAGGAAAAATAAGTTATCACTAGGGAAACAAATTGTTCTGGAAAAAAGGATGGGACAAATGGAGCAGAATTTATATATGACTGTTTTAAATAAATCTTCACTTAAACACTGGGGAAAGGTAAACGTGTTGCAGAGAGTTGCATCTTTTTTGAGAGACGTCAGCACTAAAGATAATTTGGTTACCAAAATTTTATCTTATTGGATTCAAATAAATCATATTAATAATAGGTGGAATCACTTAAGAAAATTAGATACGTCCAACAATGGCTTTATGGCTTAATGGCTTAATGTAGGGAAGGTAATACTGAGCAATTATAAGAACTGCACTCCAAAATAAAATTCAAATAAAAGGAATGATGATTACCTTCACAATTACAATAATCTGTTTTGTTTATGCCACATTTTCTCTTGATGAAATCCAGAGTCTAAATAACGAACAAACCCAGAACATTGTTGTAAAAACGACACATTTTAAAAGCGTAAAAAATCTCTGCAGAGACCTGGTACAACTAAACTCCATGCAACCAGTTGCTAATGTTTCCGTATCAATATTATTATACAAAATATATAATAGATGTCCAGAACAATTTAAAAACAATTTTCTTTAATCTAATTATGCTTATGATTTATATTTCCCACGCAATTAAGACTAAAATGAATAGTTGCTAGCAACTCCCCGTGAGTTATATATTTTCTTTTCAATCTTAAAGAGATATTTACTTTTCTAATCCTTGGAATATATTTGTAATCTTTGGTAGAATTAAATATATCCTTTACAATATCAATAACTGTTGAGTTCATTGTTTATAATGTAATCTATTGAACAACAATTTATTGAAATTAACACGCTTCAAACTTCAGGACAAAATTCACATAAAATATTTGAGAAGCTATGGATGTGAATACTTTTGTAAAAAAAACCTTTTTCATTAAAATGGATACTAAACATGATTTCAGATTTTAACTGTATGTTGAAGTACAGAGAGCCACTAGTATGCAGCAAACAGTTAGAATTTTCTAAACCTCATTACCATCATCTATTGGCTTCTGGATGTTTGCAGTTAAGATATGGAAGATCTATACTACACTATGTTGAATAAAATAAATATCAGAGTCCAGGTTGTGGGAAATAGTATAGTCCCGGGGTAAGCAACTTTGGCTCTTTTATGACTCGTGGACATCAACTCCCAGAATTCCTGAGCCAGCCATGCTGGGTCAGGAATTCTGGGAGTTGAAGTCCACGAGTCACAAAAGAGCCAAGGTTGCCTACCCCTGGTATAGTCAAAAGTGTATGAAAAGCAAGAGATGTCATTCATTCTGTATTCTCATCCTTTCTCAGTGACCAATCAGATGTCCATGGAAAGCCCACATACTAGAGAGAAGTGCAAAACACCTTTCTGCTCATGTTCTCAAGCAACTGATATAGAGAGGCATCCCAATACTTATACTAGAGGTAATACATAGCATTTAGGTTGGGGAGCCATCAATAGATTGACTGTCCCTGAATTCTCACTAGTCTTTTAAAGGTATCCAAATTACAGCAATGGTCAACACCACATCATGATACCAAATTCTGTGTTCTGTCATTTAATTATGGCCATAAAGTGGTATACTAGGTTTCAATTTTAGCTTGACCTTACAGTTAATCCTCAATTTACGACCACCATTGAATCCATAATTTGTGTTGCTAAGTGAAACATTTGTTAAGTGAGGTTGCCCCATTTTATGACATTTTTTGCCACAATTGTTAAGTGAATCATTGTAACTGTTAATTTAGTAACACGGTTGTTAAGTGAATCTGGCTTCCCCATTCTCTTTGCTTGTCAGAAGGTCGCAGAAGGTGATCACATGACCCCAGGATACTGCAACTGTCATAAATATGAGCCAGTTGCCAAGCATATGAATTTTAATCACATGACCACGGGGACGCTGCAACGATTGTAATTGTGAAAATGATCATAAGTCACTTTTTTCAATGCCCTTGTCACTTTAATGGTCACTAAATGAACTGTTGCAAATCAGTGATTACCTGTTTTGATTTGTATAAACTCAGCTGACGTGATATACTAAATGATGGTTTATGGTTGTTGTTGAACCAAACCTGACTTATTCAACAAATGATTAAGCAACTGAGTTAGTACTATAAGTAAACTATATCTGTGTGCTATGCATATAATATATCTTGAATCCCACTATTTATCTACCTTAGCTAATTTTAAATTCTAATATTATCAGAAATAGAAGAGGTTTTCTCCCTCCAGTTTAATTCCTTAGTTTAAGGAATTAAGGACAGATTAGATATCACGAGTCAGTATTCATCAGAGATAAGTTGAGTTGGTCTTATATATGATTAAAAATTGAGTATAACAGGTAATAACTACTAGCAAATGTAGAGGAAAATTTAATTGTCATCATTATAGGTTTTACATGTAAGTTCTCAATCTTCTTTATAACAATAAAACACCTATTCCCAACAGAACTAATGTTTTCCATTAAATAGATATAAATATCCATTAGGGAAAAAGCATTATGTTAATCCAGCCTGAAGGGGATTCATCTAATCTTTTTATTGTATATTTCAGCTGTGGAAGATACTAAACAGATGAACAGCAGATCAAACACAGAGAGAAAAATGTCCAGTTCTTACTTGGACAGTGTGACTGTTTCAAGAGTATTGGTCAGAGATGAAAAAAAGTCCAAGAATATAACACAAACATTCGCCACCACTAATACTTCCAGTTCTTCAAGGCTTTCATCCAGGCCAGAAAAGACTGAAGAAATGGATTTGTTACACAGGGATTTCGTTGTCACAAAAGAAGCATTTACATTTTCTCAAGCTTCTACAGGTAAATAAGGAAAATCCTCTTCTGGATTTCAAGCATTGCTAAGGCTCCCTGGGATAAAGGTAAAATGAAAATATTTGGGGTGGGTATTAAATAAGAAAGTAAGATAAAAGAACAAGCTGTTTATTTAGAAAATACATGAACTGAAGTCACGAGGAGATGAAGATGAATGAAATCATGCGTCTTCTTTAACTGGAAAATAAAATTTAGTTTGAAGTTGGCTCTAGTCCAGAATAATACATATGACAAAGTTTAAGCACTAGGACAGACTGAGTTATTATTCTGTAAAGCATGAAAGATAATACTCAGGCACACATTAGATTTCCTATTACAACTTTTAATTAGAAAGAGATGGCACTGATTATTTGGAAAACTTCTGAAAAACTGTGGATAAAAACTGTAAGAACTGACAGTAAGAAAACAAAGTCCTATTTATTACATTAGAGAAAAATATTTCACCTGTAATAATAGATCAGAGTACTGTACTAATCATATTGGTAGTACTAAATTAAATTATCTATTCACTAATTGTTCTCAATAAATATGATTATAGATAAATCATGAAAGATGTTATTAAAAGTTGACACATTTTAATCTTAAATTGTCTTAAAATACATGTTTTTACCTTGCCAAATTCTCCTGTAACACTGACTATTAAAATAGTAGCGTTCACTAAAATGAGCTATTCTAGAAAAAAAAGAGAGACTATATAATGTAAATGTAAAGCTTTAATTCTTGCTAGTACTGTTGGTATAGTGAAATTAAGATCAAAACAACTGTCCCTAATTTACTATACCCAACAGTAACTATTTTCAGATTAGAACATTCTTCTATTTTTTTTTATACATACCTTTTAAAATATTGATAGATTTCCTAAGCTATTCTGTTGTTCTCCAATTTGGCATCCATGCAATCTTACCATACATTTGAAAAAATACAAATGTTATAATTCTGATAGCCACTCTTTTAGACCTTGGTAGAAATCTCACTTCTACCACTCATAAAATGGCATGTTGCATTTCCATGAAAGGGCCTTATCTAGATATATTTATCAGGCCCAGTGCGTTACAAACAAAACATACCGAAGTATTACAGCAGTAAGATGAGGTACCAAACAGGTAATATTTGCACACACAGGTATTCTATCCCTTTTTGCATTTGTTAATATACCACATAACTGCCTTTAAGACCTTAAATTATTTCTTTATGTGTATTTTAATGAGTGGCATTTTTGTGGGCTTTCCAAAAGTAAATAAAAACTTGCTTGGGTTCTTTGGAACTGTATGGATTAATTTTCTGTTGTTGCATTTCAGAACAGAATGATCAGCAACAGAGCAGCTTAGATATGGAGAGCATTACTTCTAATTTTCACACAGAGAAGAGATCTGACAGAAGTGGGAAGAGGATAATAGGGCACACCAGTAGTTCTTACCATCCGGAGTCACTATCCACAGCTTCTCAGAGTGAAATACCCAGCAGTTCAGCTCTTACTGATTCCTCTTCTGTGCTGACTCCAATTCAAACCAGACAAAAAGATTTACCACCTGGGTTCACCAATGTCATGGAAGCAGAAAGTACACATCCTTGGGATTCCTCACAAGCAACAGGTAAAGAAAAATGTTTTCTGAGCTTCTGAACCTTGTCTGGTATCAAGATAAAAACAAAATGTCACGATTACATATTAGATGAGAAAAAAGGGTTGGAGTGGTTAACTGGAAAAACAAACTGCTAAGACATTTGAAGGTGAAGTTTATTAAAGGTATGTTGACTTTTTTATTATTATTATTATTTGCAATTTCAATTTATTTGGCCACTCATCTCAAATTAATTTCTCTGAGCGGCCAGCGAAAGTTAAAAACACCACAAAACACATATCAATAATAGAAACATACACAAAGTCAGTAGCTGAGGTTAAAAAAAAAACCTAGAATGACCACCATTAACAAATGGCATTCCTTAATGAAGGGGACCCAGAGCTCTCCTGACAGCCCAAATGGAACGGATAGACATCTTCAGGCAAAGACAGTCCCTTAAATAACCTGGCCTCATGCCACGAAGGAATGTATAGGTCACTCCCAGCCTCTTGAAATTATTTTTATTTATTTATTGAATTTATGTAGCCACCCATTTCACATTTGTGACTTTAGTGGCACACATAGTTCAGCAAAACAAATAAAACCATTAAAAACCATAAAAACAAATAATATAAATATAAACAAAGATGCAGGAAAGTGCACTCAAAATCCTACATGCAATACAACTAGTTGAACCTGGAAGTACACAGGCACCCAATACAGTTCATAGAGCAGAGGTGTAACATGTTCTGATGGTGAGCCATAACTGCTTATAGCACTGCATTCTGTACCAGCGGAACCTTCCAGATGCTCTTCAAGGGCAGCTCCATGGAAACTGCATTGCAGTAGTCCAGTAGTCCATCAGTCTGATTCTCAAATTACTCTTGCACCCACACATAGACACCCATACATATATCTATATCTGTATATATATCAAAATACCATAGATCTCTACACAGATCTCTAAGAGAAGTAGAGATCTATGGTATTTTGATATATATATACAGTTGTATAAGAGATGTAGAGAAAACATGTATCCCAAATAGATTTCATTGTATCAGAAATAATTTTAATTCAGCTGGGAGATCTAGATGATTGCCATTTTCTTTATATTATGTTGTACTGTATCTTCTGTGTACCATATCCTATACTTCACTGAATCCAGTCTTTGTGAGGAATCATAGAATCATAGGACTGGAAACTGCTGTGGGTTGTAGGAATCACGGAAATCAAGTACCTTAGAGGTCAGAGGTCTCTAGCATAATCCACTGCTAGATTTAACTCCATACATTATGGAACTTTTGGATCAAGCTCCCTTGTAATTCAATGGATCATGCTGTTTTTCCTGATATTCTAGCATTGGAATGTACTTATACACTATTTTAACTGGATGGGATTTCACTGTGGTAATAATTTAGATTCTCTTTTCTTTGTCATGGAACAATTGCTGATGGTTTCTTGTTATACCTGCTTTATGAATAAAATATAATTCCAAAGGAGGTCTAAACTGATTTTTAAATGTCAAAATCTACTTAGGTTTTTTTTCCCTTTCTCTCTATGGTGAAATTAGGGCTAAAATAATTGACGCTATTAATCTTTTGGATAATTTTCTCTTTAGAACTGGTTTGAATTGATACAGTAATCTTAAAACATTTTAAGATGCTTATATCTAATCATTTAAGCTTGGTATAAAATAAGTAAAAAAATAGGATTATATGATTGTGAAGCTGAACATAGGATAAACTGAATTAAAATGTTAACAAAGCTCTGAGTGCTTGAAAATATGTGTGGAAATGGACATGTCTCATTACATATTGAATTGGCTATGTACGATTTAATCTGATAATCTGCTCCACACAACAATTAAAATAAACTTCTGAGGTAAAAAGTTGCATATGAATATGTCCATCATCTGAAATCAGTAGATCAGATCCTCTCTCCTCCTTCACCACTATATCACAATCCCCAAATTTCTTCTAGAAGGTTAGGAACTCACACAATAAGTCACGAGAGGCATCCAGTTCTGCTGATGGACTGGAATTGATTTTCATAATGTTAGATGTAGCCCAGTGATTTAAATTAGTACACTACAGCATATTGTCCAGTTCTTCAGGACAAGAAAAATCTCCAGTTATTGAGAAAGTGATTCATGGGATTTCCAAAATTAATAATTTGCATATTATGAAATAACAAGACCTGAATACATTTATTGAGTTTCTACTTATCTAATGAAAAGATGGCCTAAACCTTATGACACATACACATACACACATTTACTTGTCATCATAATTTTTTACATTTATTTTTCAGGCTAAAGATATCTGCCGTTTGAAATTAATGTTTACCAAATAGGTTGTAAAACATGGTCTTCATTCATTGCTGGCAGATGGTATATCTAAATATTTGCTGTTGTTTTTCAGCTGCAGAAGATAGCCACTTGAGCAGTTCTAATAAAGAGAAAATTTCCACTTTTCAGAGAGATGGTGTATCTGTTTCAAGTCTATCAAAAAGAGGTGAAGATAGTACACTACGAACTGTAAGGGATGTCAGTAGTTTTGAAAGTGATACACAGACGCCTACTGTTGCCAATGCTACCATCTCCGGCAATTCAGATGTTGCTCATTCTTTTCATGTGAAAACTCCAGAAGAGATCAGCCCAGATTTGTCACCTGAAGACACTGATTTTACTGAAGGAATGCTTATACCTTCCCAGGCTCCTTCAAAAACAACGGGTAAAGGATAAAATTTTCAGAGTACTAAATTGAAGAGCCAGCTTGGTGTAGTGGTGGAGGCACCAAACTAGAAACACATTTGTTGAGTTCTAGTTCAGCTTAGACATGAAGCCAGCTAGATGACCTTGGGCCTGGCCTTGTCTCAGTCTTAGAAAGCAAATCACTTCCAAAAACGAACCTTGCCAAGAAAACTACAGGACTTGTCCAGGTGATTGCCAGCAGTCAAGAATGACTCAAAGGCAATTATTACTCTCCCCCCCTCATTGTTTGTTTTGGGTTTGTGTAAAGATAATACCAACGTGATAGGATAAGATAAAACTCTCACGGAAACAGCAATTGCTGAGATTTCTATGCATTTTAAGATCTTATGGGTTCATATATTCTTGTTAATCTACGGACCATAATAAAGATGGATTTGTTTAATTCATATAATTAAAACATGAAAGAAATTAAAAACACTTTTAACCATGAATTTGTTTAAATTATGGTATAAGTGTTAAAGTAGTTTGATTTTTATCAAATGTCTTGTTTCCTCAGCAGCATAATATCACTGCCTGGCACATTTCTGTGTGGAGGGGGGGGGGAAATAATGAAATGACCCCAGGTGGGCAAAAAAGCAGGGGGAGTGGGAGCAACTTCTGACTTCCTGCCAGCTTCCCCATTGATTTTGCTTGTGGGAAGTTGGCAGGAGTGTTGGAAATCACTCCTTCTCCTCTAACTCGGCTGACCCGTGGAACTGCTTGCTACTTTTCTGGGAGGGAGGACAGAAACAAATGTAGCTGTGGACCATGAGGAAATTGCATTCTTGCTCCTCATCCTGGCATATCCCCTTCAAAGGGGACAGGACAAAGAGGGCTCACCCATCAACCACCAGTGGTTCCCGTCCAGCCCCATCTTGTCATGAGGCAACTAAGTTACTCCCGCATCCTTTTCTTACTACTCACTGCTATTAAGAATTAAATTTCAGCCTTAGTCCCAAAGTAGCCAATTGCTCTCCTATCGTGCTTTACTACCAACCAGTTGAATTTGGGAACCAGAGGAAGGCAGAAAAGAGGGCAGGGATATGGCCCTCCCATCTTCCTTTGTACATGTAATCTACAGGTTTCTAGGAAATATAGTTGGAGGGCACAGTGGTACTATAGCGGCCACAGATTTCCCAAATTACATTCCCATGGAAGTCAGGGATCCTGGTATTCTGTAAATTAATCCACTTGAGTTATCTTGGTTCAATAATTGTTACCCAATACCTTCCAGTTTTGCCCAATTGAAGGTGACAAATGGACACAAGAGTTTTTGTGGTATATAGATAGATGCTGCTAGTTTTTATAGAACAGTCCCAAGTATAGTGCAATTAAGATGAAAATGAATGGTACTAATTTTCTTTGCAATAAGTGTGATTGCTTACAGATTTGGACACATTTTGGTCTGTTGTGAGGGAAAATGCTGTTTAACTATGATGATAGAATTCATCATAAGCAATCCAGTGATCCCAGAAATTGAGAGCCAATTAATGCTGAGGTCAGTGGAAGTTGGTTAGGAACTTAAAACAGCTCAATACAAATTAAGAAGAAAGCAAAGAAACAGAGAACATTACTTGAAAATTACTGTGTGCATAGCAATATCTTCCATTCCTTTTTGTCATGGAATGATGTATAACAAGGATATGTATTCATCCTACAATCCTACTCTATTTTTTATTTTTATTTATTTGTATCCCGCCTTAATTATTTTTACAAATAACTCAAGACAGTGAACATAGCCAATATAGCTTCCTCCTCCTGTTTTCCCCCGGAATAATTCTGTAAGGTGAGTTGGGCTGAGAGAGAATGACTTTCATGGCTAAGGCAGAACTTGAACTCACAATCTCCCACTTTCTAGCCAGATACCTTAACCAATAGAACAAGGGTCCCTAACCGCCAGGCATGGCTCATTACCGGGCCATGGCCTATTTGGAACCGGGCCATGTGAGCAGGCTGGTGCACACACATGCGTGCAGCTCCACCTATGTGAGTGGTTCTCCTCTTCCCCCCCCCCCCCAGCAAAAAATAATATATATGCTGCCTAACTCCCGGCATCTCTGGTTAGGTTTAATTTTTTTACCTGAATAAGAATTCAGAAATCTTTTCTTTAAAACAGAAGCAGCAGCAGCAGCTGGTTCAGTATTCCCAATCATAGGTGGAATAAATATAATCTCAAAGGAAGTTGAAAGCAGTTTTAATTCTATTTTTGTATAGAATAAAATATCCTAAAGGAAATTAACAGCAACTTTTTAATTTGAAAATTGATAGAAAGTTTTCATGTACATATTTATGAGAAAATTAGGAAAATTAATTCTTTCCTATTCTGTTTCAGTCAAAGAGAGTGGTCAGTCAAGTACAGAGGGCATTTTCTCCACTTATCACCTGAACAACATCTCCATTTCAGTTCTATCTGGCTTAGACGGGAAGAGGACATTACGAACCCCGAGAGATGTCAGTGATGCTCACAATGTAACACAAGGATCCATAGCCTGGCATAATGTAACCTCTAGTTCTTCAGGCCTCACCGGTTCTTCGTACCTGTTAACTCCAGTAGAAACAGATTTAACTCCTCAGACCACTGATTTCACTGAAGGAACAAGTACACATTTGCAAGCTTCTTCGGAAAAAGCAGGTAAGGATGAAAGACATCTGGTGTCAGTTTTCAGAACACTGTAGGTAGTCCTCGACTTATGACCACAACTGAGCCCAATGTTTCTGTTGCTAAGTGAGACAAGCGTTAGGTAAATTTTGACCGATTTTATGAACTTTCTTGCCACAGTTAAGTTAATAACACAGTTGTTACGTGAATCTGGCTTCCCCATTGACTTTGCTTGTCAGAAGGTTGCCAAAGGGGATCACATGAACCCGGGATACTGCAACCATCATAAATATGAACCAGTTGCCAAGCATCTGAATTTTGATCATGTGACCACGGGCAGTGGTGGGATTCGAATATGTGAACAATCGGTTCTCTGTGTGGATGCCACTTCCAGAAGTCCATTCTGGGCTTGGGCAACAAAAAATTAGCTAACAGTTCTGCCGAAGTGGTGTGAACCGGCTGAATCCCACCACTGACCACGGGGATTTACAACTGTCATAAGTATGAAACGCTGTCGTAAGTAACTCTTTTTCAGTGCCATCGTAACTTCGAACAGTCACTGAATAAACTGTTATAAGTCGAGGACTACCTTGGCACTTGCAGAAAGAGTCTTGCCTGCTCTTCTCCACAGGAGCTAAAATTAATATTGTATATTCATATAATATACAATATGTGCCACTGTCTGGAATCTTTTTTTCCTAGAAAAAGCCACATAGGTTCTCTGACGTCTCATAAGATCCCTCATTTCTCCCTTCCTTATCCACATGCTAATTATGTCACATATAGGGATAAGCCTCTTTCTGTCTTCTAGAAAACAATTCAATACCAAACTGGGAAGCCACAATCAAAGTCATTAGCCTTGTAGAGGATCTCTATTGGTTCAGCTCTTGCTGGTCATGTGATCTGCCCTGGATTCCTTCCTTGATATTGCAACATATTAGTGTCCACCAGCCTCATCTCTTATCACAGCCTCTCCCCACAGATAGTTCTTTTCGAAAATTTGACTCAGCACCAGTCAGTTGGTTTTGCAATATTAGAGGAAATGTCAAATGCATATTCCTTCTTTCATCCTACCATAGTAAGTTGAGTATAGCAATGGGTAGGAAAAAAATCATGGCTAAAGGGCATTAGGAATTCAAGGGGAAAAAACAAGCACGCTTTTTTCCCCTAGTATTGAGGTAAATTTCATTCCACTTGTTTTAATGGATCATATATTGGAGTCATAATTCAGAATCTCCTTTCTTTGTAGTTTAATAGGCAACTGTTTTGATTCCCTCTCTGTTGTATACGGTAAAATGCAATAGATGTAGGAGTTCTGAAATTACAGCTCAGGTCTAGTTTCATTTACAGTGAAACTAAGAGAAAAATGAATCATGTTTATAATTCCTTTGGGTTGAAACCATTATAAAAGTATTATTTTGAATTAGACATAACTATGGAGAAATACGTTACCAAATATATAGGAGGAGAATTCCTCAGGGCGTGGGCTAGGGTAGGATGGGAATATGAATTTGAATGTCATAGAAAAAATTGGGCTGATTTCCAGAGCTAGATTATAATAAATGGATAAGAATATGCTATAGATATTTGTGGAAGATGGGGTACTAGTTTCTTTAAATATGATATTAATATAATTTTTTCAGTGTATGTTTGATTTCTCATGTAGAAAATTCCTAAGATATATTTCATAGCTCAATTAATAAAGGCAAAGAGAACTGTTTAATTTATAAAAGCACCTACAGTTCTAGACTACATCAATAAGCAGGGGGTTGAGCGGGGGATTGGACTAGAACAGGGGTCCCCAACCCCCAGTCTGTGGACTGGCACCAGGCCGCAGCATGCCAGCAATCAAGCTGCGCAAACAAGCAAAGTCCCATCCGCCAGATGCAGGCAGCACACAAAACCACGCCCCCTCTGGTCCGTGGAAAAACCTTTCTCCATAGAACTGGTCCCTGGTGCCCAAAAGGTTGGGGACCTCTGGACTAGAAGATCTCCAAGGTCCCTTCCAACTCTGTTATTGTATTGTATTAATAAAGTTCTTGAAAGTTGTTGGTTAATAATAACATTTTATTGGGGCATTAGCCTACATTTACATAAAGTGTATTCCAGAAGGAGAGACTTTTCTCTTATGGTAACAATTAATGCAAGTATTTCTGAGTAGTTCTGAAGAGATCTTCAGTAGTTAAAGAAATGGCTTAATAAAATATAGAGAAGTTATTTTAAGGAAGATTACGTAAAATAAAAGATAAAGTCAAAACTTTTAACACTATTTTTTGGAAAATATAATGCTTTAAGTTAATTTCAGTAAGAATAAAATATGTTGTAACGGAGCTGATGTCTTACATTCTGCCATATGATAGCTGAACATAAAAATGAGCTATGAATGAAAAAACAGTTAACTTCCTTTAGTTACAGTGTTCTAATTTGATTGTTCCTTTCTTTGATAAGACCAGTGGTTGTTCCCTGCAAAATTAATATTTTCTATTAGAGCTGCATGAGTGTAATTGTGGAAGCATATTTGTGGTGTTCCTTTAGCATATGAACATAATGCCTCTAATATTTGACTATTGTATTTCAGGTGTAGAAAGCAGCAGCTCAAATATAGAGACCAGATTTTCCCATTCTGATCAGGACAGTGCATCTGTTTCAAGTTCATCAGACAGAGATAAGGAGATCACACTACAAACTTTAAGAGAAGTCAAGAATGTTTATAATATTACCCAAACATCCAGTTCTATGAATGATAACATCACCAGCTCATTCAATATTGCTGATTCTTCTTATACAATGACACCCAAACACACCAGAGAAATGAATTTATCATCTGGGAATAATGATTTCACTGAAGAAGCACTTATATATTCTGAGGCTCCATCAGAAACAACAGGTAAAAGAGAGAGATCATTGTGCTTATGTCAGATTTCAGAGTAATTTTTAACTTGGTTGACGTAATCCAGATTCCTGTGGAAAAAAGAATTAAGATAACAGCTTCTTTTCTAAGAATCCAATAATGGGGTTTGCTGAATAATTTTAATAATGGGGACTTTGTTCAAAAGTAATTTATGAACAAAAGTGCTTTACCCTTTTTCTTACATTCTTTTTTCGAAATTTTATATTCTCTATTCTGATTGTTTTCTAGCATAAGTTCAAGGCAATGCCAAATGTTGCAACAATGATACAGAACTATTTTTCCTAATCTGATAATCTCCAGATATTTTAGAACAATCATTTATTGGAATATCACAAAGATGTTTTCTGCTCTTACATTCATGAGAAATAGGATATCAAGAGTGGGTGGGTAAATAGGTAGAATAGGATAATATAGATATGGTAATTTACGAGAGAGGTGCTGCTTGGGCACTTCCCCTACGCTGTATTCCTGTATTTGAGAGGGATGAGAGGGGAGGAAGGTGAAGGGAGGAAGTAGGATGGCAAGAGGAGAAGAGGAGGGGAAGAGAGTAGGTGGGGGAGGAGAGAAATAGGAGGGAAGGTATTAGAGAGGGTGGATGCAGCGTGGGGGGAAGGAGCAAGCGGCACCTATGGTTATGGTTATTTTGTAAAGTGAATTTTGTTGTATATGTTGAATAAATGGAAAATAAAAAAAATATTAAAAAAGAGAAATAGGATATGAAGGTCTTTTTTTAATATATTTTATGGATTTTTTACAATAACAATCTTTAGTACTTCATAAACAACGTGTTGTCTGAGTTCATATATTTAACAACAATCAATAATTGTTAATTTCTATGATTTCATAATCAACATACTAACTAGAAATACCTTTCCTTGATCCTCTCTTCTTCCAATAATATTCTCCTTTTACCAACATTGAGCAACTATAGTTCTTAGTATTTTCAATACATATAAAGTTGAATATAAAGATTTTTCTAATATTTATATGAATAACAATAACATCAATATGTAGTGTCTTTTCTAATCAGCTTGTTTTACAATTGTGTTTGCAAAAAATCATCTTATGTAAATCGCTGTAGGTCCTGTTTTCAGAATTCTTATTTAAGCTTAATTTTTCCTCAGTAATCAAAACATTTCTTGTCAATTATAATTTTCTCAAAATTGATTATATTTAAATATCCAAAACATTTCATACATTTAAATCATCCCAGTATTTCACATTTCCCATATTATAAAATAATAGTATACTAGTAAATCATATCTCTCTTATTATGAAACCCATTCATGTCCAAAATTTAACTATTTTTTAACCATATTCAAACAAGTATTTGGTCATGTAGTACTCCATCTGGTAGGTCAAATCATCTCTCTTGAGTCTAGCTCTCACCTTCTTCTTTTGCCAGGTAGCTTTCTGAATCAGTGTGTTCAGCTTGCCAGGGGATTCTGCCTATATTTTTATAAGTGTGGCTAAAAATGGGAAAGACAAATTGAGTAAGGCATTTTTGAGGGGGAGTTTCACCCATTTATATTCGTTAAGAAGCTTCCATTTTCATTCTCCTTCATTTTCTCTTTTCATCTTTTGTCTCCCAAACTCTAGTGGTTCTCCTGACAGCTCTATAGTGCATTTTATCAAATCTTCTTTTTTATACTCAGTTTTGTTTTGAAGTCCTGAAAAATAAAATGTGTTTTCCATTTCCAATACTATGGCAAAATCTTGCAGATTTTTCTTTGTCTGTGTTAAACTGTGATTTTCTTTGTTTGTAGCCCCCATGTTTGGGTCACTTTCCTCTGGTTTTTGTTCTATTGTCTGATTTATTTGTTCATTCTTTGTCATCATTTTCTGAGAGTTTTTTTTAATTGTGAGCTTAGGTCAAGGATGTGCTCATTTATATCATCACAATTATTTTTAATCTCATGATTTGAAACAATTGTCATTTGAATTAATTGCAACATAGCATGCATTTCCTCCTGGAAGATATTTGTCTTTTCTTGAAGTATTGCTCCTGCAGATCTCTGATATTCCAGACAGAGGATTTTAGAAAAGAATATTGAGTGTGGTTTCCTACCACTTTTGGTTATATATTCAATCTCCAGTTTCATCAAACCAACCTGTCTTAAGTTCCAAGCACCGTAGTCTTATATAGTTCTTATCTTTATGAACAGTTTAAAATGTTCAACATTTAAAAACAATCCAGTAATTTCCCCCCTAGAAAAGTGGCCAATAAGTCAAGGTTTTTCTTTCTCTGCAAACGATTCTTGAACTTAAATATCACAGCTCAGTAAGTGTTTATAATCTGAGAAGGTCAGCAGATTTTATAACAATTGTATTTCTCATTCTGCAATAGGAAGTATTTTCTTTCCTCTATTCCCAGCTGTTCTCTATTTAGCTGAGGATCAAAGGAATGTCTATTTCTGGGCATCTTGCCAGTTTCTGGGTCAAGGCAGCTGTAGCTCTATACTCTGATCCACCACTAGATGTCAGTAGTTATTTATTTTCCAACTTTTAAAATGAAAAAATTATTTCTTGTAATTTTCTCAATATTCTTTCAAATAAAAAATCTTAACAATTTCCATAGTTTTCAGTTTTATCTAGGTTATAGCTTTATATTAATCCATTTCAATTTATTTCTGTCCCCCATAGAAATTAAATCGCCGCTTCCATCTATGAAAGGGTGGTGTTATAATCCCCTTCCTTCTTACTTTTAGAGGATTTTTTGCTTCTTGGGGATCTTTTTCAAGAAATCAATTTCAAAATAGAGAAGAGAATATCTGTGTTCTCACCCAGTTCCAAACACGCTATTCACAATTGTTCTTACTTGGTGCTTTTGGACCTCTGATGCTGGTAGCTTGGGCTAGTCACTGAAGTGTAGCTAGCCTTTCTACTGTCAGGTTGGTGGGCTTCCCCTGGATCAAACGGAAAGACCGCCATCTTTCTGTGATTGACGGGGTGGCCCTCCTTCTTCGTCGCCTCTCTGGGGCATCTTTAGACTCGTTTAGGGTCCCCTGGCAGGGCAAAACCAGCTGTGGGGTGTGGAGCTCCGCAATCCCTTGGCCATGTCACTATTACGCAAAACTGGAAGTCCAGGTCAGGACATGAAGATCTTTAACGTGATGAAATCTAAAAATGAAACTACTGTTAACAAATTAATTGGTTTAATTGTGAGATGTCTGCATAAAGTAGCCAGATTTAATATGACATGCAATAGAAATGTTTCCAAAGACCAAAATGAAGTATTAATTTCCAATTTTAAACAGCACACAGAGTTGCTTAGAATGTCACAGCATCCCCATAGTCACGTGATCGACATTTGGGCAGTTGCCAATGGGCATATATATACAATGGTTGCAGCATCTAGGGATCATGTGATCAACATTTGTAACTTTTCCAGGTGACCTCCAACAAGCAAAGTGAATAGGGGGAAAGCTGGATTCACTTAATGGCCATGTGATTCACTTAACTGCAGTGATTCACTTAACAACTGTGGCAAAAAGGTTGTCAAATCGGGCATGACTCACTTAACAACTGTCTTGCTTAGCAATGGAAATTCTGGCCCCAATTGTGGTTATAAGTCGAGGAATGAATCCAGTAGTGTTCCTTAATATTTATTTTAATTTTTTAAAGTTGTATTTGAATGGAGACCGACATGACAATTATATTGAAAAGTGTAATAAGATAAATAAAAATAGGCTACAACATAAACCGCACATATAAAGGACTAGTATACTCTGTTGAATTCACAGGGACTTCTCAACAAACAGACTACGATTCTTGTGTTAACATATACCGGTATGTACTCCAGTGGTCTGAAACTCTAACACGTAGACATTTCTAATGATTGCATCTTCTCTTGCAGACACCAGAAGTAGGCACCATGCCTTGAGCAACTTCAATATAGAGAAGAAGGCCACTCAGACTGAGAGTATGTTCTCTTCTACTGTGATCAAAGATGAGACATTTGTATCTTTAACTAATCAGAGCAGATCCATAGACACAACAGAGTTGTCAGTGTTTGATGCTGGTTCTTCTGTGATAATCCAGACGTCATCTGCTACATCGCAAGGTGGAAATGAAAATTCCCCCTCTACTGAAACGGAGTTCACAGAAACCCTAGAACAGTCTTTACATACTACTTCATCAAAAGCTTCAGGTTCTTCATCTTCTACAAAAGATTTTTCAAGTGAGTTTTTTTTTTCTTTCTTGTTATGGCCATGGTTATAAATCCATTAGAGACCAGGGTTGTTCATTCATTCCCTGTAGACCTTCCAAATTGCTCTCTTTCTCTTCTTTTCCCTTCCTGTTTACAGTTGTTGTTGTTTTTTTTTAAAAAAGTCCACTTTCACTGATTCATATAACTGTAGGCATGAAGCTTGCAAATGGTAGACTTTTTCTCTTTTAGGTCTCACACTGTTATCTGACCAAAGTGTTCATCATATGCTTTATTTATCGTAGCTATTATATCGTCCATTGAAACTATATGATAATTATATTTATTTCATACAAAAACAAGGATGTGAGGACTGTTCTAAATATGTGGATAACAAAGTTGGCTTCTAAAATAATGTATTTAGACGCAGCACTTGCTGCTGTTTAAAGGCAAGGCCATTTTTCAGTTGGGTAAATGTATGCCTTCCTTGTGTACCTCTTGGAATATTCATTCATTGAGATGATTTAAGATGAATATGCATAATGCAGGCAGTGCTCGACTTACAATCAATCACTTAATGACTATTTGAAGTTACAACAGACCCAAAAAAGGGGACTTATGACCTAGATCAGAAGTTATGATGGTTGGCTCTCCCCACAGTCATCTGACTGCGCTTCGGGCAACATGGCTACATCCCACAGCAGCATCCCACAGTCATGTGACTGCATTTTATGATGGGTTTGCAACAAAATAGCATACACAGCAAACCATTGGCTCATTTAACGACCATGGCATTTGTGTAATGGTGATTTGCTTAATAACTGCCACAAAAAACATAAAATCAGGTTGGTCACATGCCTGAGCCATTTACAACCATTATGACTTAGGGATGTAATGGGCAGTCTCCATTAAGGTTGTAACTTGAGGACTACCTATAATAAAAATGTTATTAACCGTCGTTTTTGATTTTATGGTAATACTGGAAAAAATTCAAATGCTTGTTAATTATTGGTAGCTATGTTCTCCACAAGATTCCTTTTTTTTTTTAAAAAAGTGTTTCTTTACATGCCAGTACAAACTTGCAATAATAGTACAATAATAGCAGTGAGAAGCTAAAAGTAACTTTGTAATCCACTTAGAGAGTTTAGAGTAGCATTTAAGGAAGAGGTCCCCAACCTTTTGGGCACCAGGGACTGGTTCTGTGGAGAAAGGTTTTTCCATGGACCGGAGAGTGTATGGTTTTGTGTGCTGCCTGCACCCCACAGATGGGGCTTTGCTTGTTTGTGCGGACCGGTTGCCAGCATGCCACGGTCCGGTACCAGTCCACAGACTGGGGGTTGGGGACCCCTGGTTTAAGGCACTGGGCCAGAAGTCAGGTGACTGAGTTCTACTGCGGCACAAAGGTAACTGGGCGAACTTGGGTCAATCAATTTCTCACAGCCCTAGGAAGCAGGCAAGGGTAAACCTCTTCCCCCAAAATTCAAGAGCTAGTCCAGATAGGCAACACTACCTTGAAACCACCACCACCATCAAAAAAAAATCCACCCAGAGAATCTGAGAAGTTATTGGATGAATCAAATAATACATAAATGCAAACCTCTCTTTATAACCATTACCTAGTAAAAGATTGTTACAAGGCAGATGAACTGAACCTTACCTTTTCTACCAAGCTGTAATAAGATTAGCACAAAGTCACAATAAAACAGATTTTTTTTTAAAAAAAAAAATCAAAGTCTATATAACAAGGATATAGGGATTATGCCTAGAAGTTTAATTCACAGCATGTCTCTCTGGGCAGAGAACAATCATGCTGTGTTGAATTAACTAAAAATTGTTGAGAGTCGGTTCTTTTATTATGACCCTTAATTTGACTTGTAGTGTTGGAACACATTGCATAAATGATGCTTATGAAATCTGAATTCTTAATCTTACTTAAGGCTCTACAGACCATTTTCAAACCATTAAGGGATCAGAGGCGGGAAGAAGATTTTCTATTGCTTCAACAGACAGCGTCTATCTATCAACCACATTTGTACATGGGGCAGAAAGGACTTTAAGATCCCTGCCGGATAACAGCACGTCTGATGATGCAGCAGATAGCAACCCTTACAGTTCCCAAACTTCCAAATCTTCAGAAGAAAGCTTGACCTTGTCTTCAGAGCCTGAAACAGAAACACATAATGTTTCACTAAGTGAAGTGCAATCTATTGGGCCTTCTACTGAGTATTCACTGGACTATTCCTCTGGAGTTCCTACATCCTTATCACCAAATGATTCAGCAAGTAAGTTTGCTTTATGGCAAAGAACAAAGGAAAAATGCACACTGTAATTAAAATGGTTTGTATGGTGTATGCCCAACGTGGTAAATATGTGTATATGCATATACAGCATACATCACCAACAACATTTTAGTCACTGTCTGTCCACCGCAGGATGAAGGCCTCTTCTGCATGTTTCCAACTATCCGGTCCTGAGCTTTCTTTTGCCAATTGGGCCCGCAATACTTGCTGATGTCATCGATCCATCTTGTTTTAGGTCTCTTTCGTGGATGCTTTTTATCAAGTGGGATCCATTCTATGACTGCCTGGGTCCATCTGCCATCAGTTCTTCTTGCTATGTGACCAGCCCATTTCCATTCCAATTCTTTTACTCTCTTGATGATATCAGATACTTTAGTTTGTTCTCTAATCCATGTGCAGGTCTTTCTATCTTGTCTTGCAATGCCGAGCGTGTATCTTTCCGTGGTTCTTTGCGCCACTCGTAGCTTTTGTATCAATTGTGAAGTTAGTGTCCATGTTTCACTCACAATCGATACAAAACATTCAGCATATATAAATGGGTATGTAGATGTGTATAATCTAAAGCAGAGATCCCCAACCTTTTGGACACCAGGGACCGGTTCCGTGGAGAGAGGTTTACTGCGTATCGGAGGGCTGCCTGCATCTCGCGGATGGGGCTTTGCTTGTTTGTGAGGACCAGTTGCTGGCATGCTGCACCCCGGTACTGGTCCACGGACCAGGGGTTGGGGACCCCTGATCTAAAGGGCAATCCAAGTATATTCTGAGCCAATAAAAATAATTACTTTCAATACGGTACTTTACAGTATTTCAAAACACAAGCTACATTTCTAATTCTTAATATGCTTAATATTATAAATAAGACAACTTCTGATACTGAACTATCTGCCATTTTAAATGTATGTGTCCAAATTATTATTTCAGGTATTGGAAGCCATGATAATTCAACTAGTGGGCCAAGAGTTTTGCATTCTCGCACAATCAGCACTGATAGTTCAGCTCCATTCAGTGAAGGTGAAGAGCAAACTACCCAGCCTACAATTAATGCTACAGTGATGGAAGAGACTGAAAGCGTCTCATCACATATGGAAAATGTTGACAGCACAAGATCAAAACCTTCCTCATCCAAGACATACTCTAGAATGACAGATTTATCTCTAAAAGATTTGGATATCTCTCCATCTTCAACTGAGGCCTTACAAATTCTTAGTTCATCAACCTATTCTTCCCCCAAAAGTGAACTTTCAGGTTAGTTTTCTTTTATATTCTTTTACCAGCATCAAAGCCAATTCCTTTCTGGGTTTTTTTCTAAAATGTAAATGAATTGTGCTTTTCTCGGAGAATATTTTATTTGATTTATCTAAAAGTGAATCAGTAAAGCACTGATTGCTTGAATATATTGATGTTTTTTTTAACTTTCAGATCAAGTAGCAATTAAATGTTCTTTGCATTATTCCATTAGTAGTTGATGGGCCTAATAGGCACTGAGTTCCTTGTTGGTTATGCATCTAATATTTAATCCTTATATATGTTCTAGTTTGTGAATTCTCTTGATCTTGAATTCTCTACAGTAAAATAAAGATGGCCAATTTACCAATGGATTAAATTATGAACTATGTGTTTGGTTGATTATCATGAAAAAAAGTGCAATAAGACTTTTTTTTCTTAACAGGTATGCCAAAGCTAAAAAGTAAAGATGCTTTTGAGTCAAATCTGACTCCTGATGACATCATCTTATTTTCTTGCCAATAATATGGAAATAGTTTGCTACTGCTCTCTCGCAGGATTTTTTTTAATTAACTGAAGCTAGGGTCTTAATAATTCAGTATTACGCTAGGGTCTTGATAATTCTGCATTAATCTTTTGGCTAACTGTGTTGTTCCTGAATTTTTTGGTACCATGAAGGATACATTTGTATACTGGACAGTTCATTCTAAAATAGTATATTATTTTCCTTGGCTTGGACTCCTTTGTGTAACTGGAAGAAAAGGGCCTTTTCTTTATGGGATAATCCATAGGGCTTCTTAGGATATGTTTTGTATGCATAACATGTTCCAAGTTGAGCTCCTAGTTTTTTTTCCTTTAGGAAATGGGTCAAAGCAGCTGGAGGGTGCTATCTGAGGCTTTGATCAGCCACAGCTAATCCAAGAAATATAGCTTCCACAATCCATTGTTCCATAGATACCTTAAGTCCCAGAATTTTCATCTATAGTAGTATTCTGGAAGGCAGACTATTTTGTGGCATTCTACTGTTATGGCTGGTTGTAGAGTCAGCCATGTTTTCAGTTTAGACTGGATTTGGCATTTTTATTCACCTATTGAGTCCCTCTCCCAAGGATCTGGGATAGGCAGATATTGTTGTTTGATGGTGTTAAAAGCATTGTCACAGGATGTAAGCTGTTCCATGTCTGTTCCAAGTCAAGCTGCCTTTTGCAATTGACCAGTGTGATTTTGTCAATGCTGATAGTGTGCAAGTGGTACTCGAAATGTTTTGGAATTGCATCCAAGGCACCTATTACTATTGGTTATTATCTTTGCCTTCTTTGGTTACAGTCGTTCTGCTTCTACTTATACATTATTAGTCTTATTATTTATTGTAATAGAGTTGGAAAGGATTCACTTGAGACTCAGAAGGTATGACAGGATTCAGAAGGAGAGCGTGCCATAGTAAAGCCATTGTACAAAGACCAATGATGATCAGTGTGAATACCTTGACATTTCACATACTGTGGAATGGTAAAGTCTAGCCATGTCCTAGCTCATCCTTGCTATCCATGTTTTCAGGTGACTCACAAAACATACACATTCTGTCTGACCAGATCTCAGAAGTCCCTACCTAAGAAGACAGTGGGAGAAAGGACCTGACAAAGAAAGCAGGCAGTGTAATAATTCCTTGGTTTGGAATACTCTGAGCCAGTAAACCAGGAAGTAGAAGTTCCAGGATTGTGGAATTTATTTTGAACTGTACCTTAAACCACCATTTCTTTCATTTTTACCTTATGAATAGAAAGTTTATCTCAATAGTTAATCACGATTTGTTTCTTTTTCAGACACTGGAACAGAATATCAACCAATGAGTAGTACTGACTTTGGGAAACAGACCTCTGTTTCTCATACTGACAGCACATACACATTAACGACCTTTGCCAAGGGTGGAGAAAGGACATTGCTGTCTCTTCCAAACAACAACACATCAGCTGACTCATCAGGAAGTTCGACTTACTCTGCGGAAATATCCAGCGCTTCTGAGTCAGTTCAGTCTTTCTTTTCAAGCGACATGGATTTTTCTGAAAATTCAACAGAACCTTTGGCAGTCCATTCCCTGAAAACATCAGAGTATTCTTCTACAGTGAGTGAAGCAGACACGACTCAGTATTACTCAGAATCAGAATCTGCATCTACTGGCAGCTTGTCATTTTCATCTTCCTCTACAAGGCTGTCAGAGCAGGATTCACTTCCACCAGTTCACCCATCCACTTTTTTTTCCTCAGCCAAGTCTTCTGTCCCATCCTCTTTTTCTGCTTCCCCGTTGCCATTGTCATCATCTCCACCCACATCTCTAATGACATTTTCACCCATGTTCTCATCCACAGAACCAACCACGTTGCCTTTCTTTCCTTCTGTGTTGCCTTCACTTTCTACAACACCATTGTTGCTACAGCCTGGTGAAAGTCTTGAAACCAGTGTTTCTATGACTGAGCCTGAAGGAACAACTGGAGCAGAACTACGCACAACAGGAAGTTCCCATGGTGAATACAGCCACCCGACTACAGTGTATCCATTGGCGAACAACACTATTCTGAGGGCAACTGGGACTTCTCTTCTGACTGAAATTACTGAGCAGACTGCCAACCGTTCTTTTCCAAGAAGCACTTCTCAAGAGGAAACAAAGGGACAGACACTTACTCTCCCAGGAATCAGTACTGAGAACGAACCCATTACAACTACCTCTTCACCATATTTCCAGGAAATGACCACTACTTTTGAGCCAGCAAAAGCAACTACGGCTGTACTGTTGCATACAATCCCTCAAAAGGATACTTTCCCTTCATCAACAGTAACCATGGGCAAAAAACCTACAGAAATAACATTCACACCTGGAAGATTGCCTACTTCAGCATCAACCATGAATTATTTGTTCACTACAAAAGTTCAAAAGGTTCCATTGCCCTCTCCTACTGAAATTTCTTCCACTGGAATTCCCACGAAAATGATGGAAAAGAGCAGTACAACTACTGTGAAAACCAAAGTGCCCGAGATTGTTATTACCTCTTCTCCCTACACCTTAACTTCCCACAAAACCACTCTTCAGTCTTTTCCTGCTTCACTGGTTCCTTCCAGACCAACCACAGCTGTGAATCTAGGAAGCTCAAAGATATCTCCAACTCTCTATGGAAAAGGTAATTTTGTTTGCAAATGTTGATAACATTGGCCTGAAAAATGAATTTAACTTGCGGTAGATAACTGCATCCCGGAATGGGAGCACTTTGGATAGATTAAAAAAAATATTTGAATTCCATGGAGATCAGAGTAAGACGTAAAGATGAAATATAGAGTTAAAAGTTATTTGAAAATGGGGAAGGAAAAGCTATGAAAAGATCAGACCGAAAAATAATGATTTGTAGGTCAGTTTCTTAAAAGCAAATAGCAGCAAATATGCAAAGAAACACTTAAACATATTACTAAGTAATGGTAGAAATGTTGATTCTTTTCTGTAATCACAGAGGCATATGCAATTTAATTAAGTCAAAAAAAGGTGAAAAGAAACCTCAAAGTATATGATAGGGTAACACAGTGGCTCAGCAGTTAAAAAGCTGGGCTTGTTGGAAAGCCAATAGCCCAGGTTCGAGATCTGAGCGAAGCACAGCAGAGTGAGCTCCTGTCCTTGCCTCAGCTCCTGCCAATCTAGCAGTTTGCAAATGCAACTAGATAAATAGGTACCACTACAATGGGAAAGTAACAGCACTCTGTGACATCATACTGGCTCCATGACTGTGGAAACATCTTCGGACAACTCTAGTTCGTTGGCCTTGAAACGGAGATGAGCACTATCGACTATGGCAGCAACAACTAGCAGAGTAAAATCCACAGGAACTTCTTTTTAATTTTTTTATTATCTACCATTCCTGAAAATAATTTTGTTGCACAAGTGCTCAAGTCTCATAATAAATGTTTGCAATAGGCAGTCACCATTACAGAATTCATGTAATCGCCGTGTAATCTGAAATCACAATTTTGAGTACTTGAGGTCTATTTCAAGTTAACTGTTTGAGAAGAGAAGCTTTGTCTTTCATATCAAGTGGCCAATATTATTACCAGCTGTCATAGGCTATCTTCCAGACAATAAATGTGTACAATACCAAGTACAACTTGTGGTATCCCAGTATCTGAGAAGCTGAAAGTAGTGTTATAACCAGCAACAAAATGATTTGATAATTTGATAATTGTACAAACCAGCAAACAGGCCTAACCCTGTTCTTCTATAAATGACATCAAATTTCATTTTATCTGCTCAAGCCTGTTGGCATAAACTTTTTTTGCTAAAGTGATTAATCCCTCTAAAGTTTTCTTTTCCATCTGGAGCTGGGAGAAGGTTGAATCTTCAGCTGATCTTTTGCTAGTTCCAAGGTAAGTAACCTACAGTATATCTCATTAGGTTCTGCCTGATTCAAATCCCTTAGATTATGTCACAGAAATTCAGTGACCTCATCAACATTTGGATGAGTGTATGTATGGTCCAGTCATTCACTTTATCATAATTCATTTGTTTCTGTTCACCCTGGATCAACTGCTTTCTATTGCAGCATCTATTGGATGGTTATTCTACAAAAATAATTCTACAATTCTACAATGACCATTTTACTCCTTTTTCTCTCTTCTGTTTCAGATGTAGATGAATGTCTGTCTAATCCTTGTCCATCGATGGCTACATGCATTAATGTACAAGGTTCATTCCAATGCATTTGTTCCCTGGGCTATCAGATGGCAAAAGGAAAATGCAATTTGGGTAAGAGCCAAGGAGCACAATAATAATAACTAAAATATTGTAATTGTAAAATATTTTTTCTTGCCAGAAATACATTTAACTTCATTTTGCTGATTAGTGATCTTAATTTGTCACTGTAAGTGGTATTACATTGTCTTATATATTACACTTTTGATATTGTCAGTTTAATAATAATAATAATAATAATAATAATAATAATAATAATAATAATAATAATAATAATAATAAAGTTGGAAGGGACCTTGGAGGTTATCGAGTCCAACCCCCTGCTCAGGCAGGAAATCCTACACCATTTCGGACAGACGGCTGTCCAGTCTCTTCTTAAAAACTTCCAGTGTTGGAGTATTCACCGCTTCTGGAGGCAGGTTGTTCCATTGGTTAATTGTTCTAACTGTCACGAAGTTTCTCCTTAGTTCCAGGTTGCTTCTCTCCTTGATTAGTTTCCATCTGTTGCTTCTTGTCCTGCCCTCAGGCGCTTTGGAGAATAGCTTGACTCCCTCTTCTTTGTGGCAGCCCCTGAGATATTGGAACACTGCTATCATGTCCCCCCTCACCCTTCTCTTCGTTAAACTAGACATACCCAATTCCAACAACCATTCCTCATATGTTTTGATTATATAATAGTCGGTTAGGAGACTTCTTGGCAGTACAGTCGACTTTGAACTTCAGATCTAAGCCTAACCTATGACTTTTGGGAAGGATTATTACATTGATGTTACAGTTATGGGATCTAGTCTTAGTAATATCTAACAACATGTTCCTCTCATCTTCAGTAAGGACGTTTGTCGGTCACTTTCCACTAATGTTTAATACAACTGGAGGAACATACTCAGAGCTACATCAAATTGAAGGAGTTATCATAAACCTGGTAAGTATACTAATTCTCCTTTAATTTTTTTTTTTCATAATGGCATCTTGTGAGGCCACTTATGGAAATTTTAGTAAAACCTCCTGATGCTCTCAGCCTTCAGAGAGAAAAGGAAGAAATGGACAAGCTATAAGAAGGCAACTTTATGCCATTGGCAGTTGCTTGGCTGTATTGTGTCCTGAATGAGTCCTGGGTTCAAGGCACAGTTGCCAAGCTTAAAATTCTTGGTTGAACTTCTTTTTTTCTTGTTTTCAGCTGAACGAATCCCTTTCAACATTTCCTGGTTATTATACTTCAACGGTTAAAGCCTCAAGGTAAGGAGCATAGCACAGTGAAAGAACTGGCGTAAGATCTGATCTCTTCCTCCTCTCCTTCCTGATGTGTCTGATGAGTTGCTGCTGCTTAGATGGCTTTTTAATATTGTTGGATTAAAGTCTTCATCCTGATTCATCCAAGCCAGGAATAAATAAACAACATGGCGACTGCTTTGGGAAGAAGGTTACAGTATATTGAAGAGGCAGAAAGATGGTTCTTGCAGGAAAGAGCAGAGGGAAGAAGGGCTGAGCACACGGGTAGTAGGTTTTTATACCCACTCTAGCCTTTTGTTTGGAATAGTTTCCTGTTCCTGTGGCATGAACTTTGAGGCTATTTCCTGTGTCACGTATTCTGACCTGAGTTTAGGTGTGCCTCTCTGGCCTTTGTGAGTTAATCCTATCATGTCCTATCTCAGGTGGGGTATGCAGATTTTAGGGCTCTGTCTTCTTGATCTCCTAGCTGGGGCCTTTCTGATGGTTTACATTTGCATTTGTATAGAGCTGGCTTCTGCTTGGGACAGAGACTTGGGGGCAAAGTTGGTTTCTGCTTTTTAAAATACTTTTGAGGAAATATATTTTTCTGCCCTCTTAATATTTCCTTCTCTGGGGAGCTGACTTCCCACAATATATACTCAAGAAGGTCTTCCCAAGAGTGAGAGATTTCTTTTTCTGTTGACAACATTTCCAATGATCTAATTCAATTGGAGGAAGAGGAGGTAACTTTAAATCTTGCGCTCTCTCTCTCTCCAGGCAGGAAGGTGTTGTTCAAATATCCATCCTGAGCACCTTTTCCATGGCTTCCAATATCACCTTTTCTGAAGTAATCGGCACAGTACGAAGCCGGATCCGAGCCTGCAAAGCTCCCACCCTGCCCTGCCAGTTCATTTCTAACCTGACCCAGCTCTACAGAGGTAAATATGGCAGAGTTTTAAAAAAGAAAACGAAAAGGGGTTTTGAAATAATTTTATTCACAACAAACAAAACATTTTCTTCATAGCTATCTTGGTTGAAGCTGGAGACGTCTCAAAACTTCTAGAGGTTGGAATGCAAAGTTGCAATTTGTCTGTGTAATTTGTCTCATTTAAAAAAAATACTCTATACACGGAAAAGTTGTTGTCATTGTATGTGAGGCTTTTCATGCCAGAGATTCAATGTCTGAAGTGGTTAAAATGACCTGAGCACAGTTATGAGAACCAAATAACAGGGAGGTACATTTAGAAAAACTAAAAAAAAATAGCCGTTACAAAGACATTGAGATTAGTTAGATTTTTCAAGAGTGTTAATCTATTGGTGGAGATCCGCAGTCTGTTAAAGCACTACTGTAATCACACAATTGCAGTTGAGATACTTTATGAAAAGGATTATAGTCTGCTTGGCACCTCATGAAAGACATGCAGAGAAAACACACATGTCAGAAAAATAAAAACCCGAAATACCAATGTAGAAAATTGCCAAGGTAAGACGTAAATCTTTAGTGTGAGCTTTTCTCATAGGCTGTATATAATATAATAAAAAGAAGAAAAAAAATCAGTGAGGCGTAAAATTTCCTATCTCCAAAAGTAACCTAACTGACACTGTGTGCTAAATCGCACACAGAAATATAGCAATGATGCAAACTCGGAGAAGAGCAAAGAAATCTTCTGTAGTCTCATCCTCAAAAAAAGTGCTAATAGAGAAGAAGTTCATTTCGGTTAAACTTTTTATTTTAGTGCCTATTTTGTTTGGCAGCAAAATAGTTGTTATAGTTATAGTTGTTTTTCTTTGGATGGGAGTTGCGTACAGTTTAGATAAAGACAAGAAGACATTTGGGGATATCAAAAATTCTGCCCTCCCAGCTGTGATTTTGGCTTTATTGGTATATCTTGAAAGAAAACAAGATGAATTTTATTTTTCTTCTTTGAAAGACGAACAAGCATAATTTTGCTTGGTCTTTTACAATGACATCTCAAAAGGGAAGCTAGGTACAGAATCAAGTAAAAGTTGTAATCGCAAAGCAAAAATCCAGTAAAGATGCTTTTTGCCCCTTTCCAAGCAAATTATAACACTGCAAATGTTCCCCCCCCCCCGCCCTCTTTCTCTCTTTTTAGTTGGTGGTCTATGTAAACATAAAGATCCGGAATGTGACAAAGGGACTTCTGTGTGTGTAGACTTGGATGGCATTGCCGTTTGCCAGTGCAAACCTGGGTATTTCAAATATAACAAACTGGATCATTCATGCAGAGGTATTGTGCTTTACACAGTTAGGTGGCTGGGACTGGTCTTTAATCTTTTGGTTCCAGTTCAAAGGATTTTATGCAGATCAACACAATTCCTTCCCTTTGTATGCATGCTAAGGAGCTCTGCTCTCTGAATAAGTATTAAGTGCTTACTTTCTCAATCTTTTATTTAACTAGAGTGGAGATACTGGGGATAACGTCTTCTGCCCGCTCTCTGTGAAGCAATAGTATTATCTTTTTGCACGGCCAGAAAAATAAATAAAATAAAAAGGAGCAGTCCAGGGAGGAGTCTGCTATACCTGTAATGAAAATTATTTTTTTTAGCGATTACATTGTGCAATTATGTCTGCCTTTGTTTTGTCTAATTTCTTAGGGAAGTAAAAAAGTTAATTGATCTTTATGCTCAGCTCTTTCAACGGATTCTTTATGTTGTTTGAAAAGTATGAATTGCTTTCGTCCCCCAAAGTGAATAATCCACAACTGGAGCCAGTGCCATTTACTGGAGGTTCTATCAGAATGACTTCCATTTGCTGCAAAACAGAATTTTACCCTCTGTGCATCTTCAGGGGCATTTAATTTTATGCTGACTGAACCATAATACAGATACATTTTCAAATGTTGTCTAGATTTCAGCAATGTGACCCCATTGTTTTAAATTTGCAATTGTAGCCATAGCAATCTCTTCTATTAATCTCAATTTCAAACAAAAATCAGAAAAATGCATATTTGTGAGATACTGCAATGAAATTGGATCTAATCCAGTCTGTTAGGGAAAACATTTTTATGGGCTCCATAAAAAATACTTTTATGGGCTCCAAGTAATCAATATTTCTTGATTACTCATATAAATACAATCTAAAATAAATATTCTAGACCATTATTTCTCAACCTTGATAACTTTAAGATGTGTGGACTTCAACTCCCAGAATTCCCCAGCCAGCCCCCATGCTGGCTCCATGTAGTAGGTTTTGATTGGGTATACAAATCAAGCAAAGCTAGGTTTTTGTAAGTATGATTTATTAAATAAACTATAATTGAGTTCGGATATTATATGAGGGTAATCTACAATTAGATTCACAGACTAAGACTGGTAGAAACTTAATAATTCAAGTCCTAACTAAGGATTTAAAAAGTTATTGAGGTCATGTCTAAGAATATTGGCAGTTCCAAGTAGAATAAGGTTTTTTGTTTTTGTTTCTTTAAAAATCAGGGTGTTCATGTCTGAAAAAATTCAATATTTCCAGATATCAAGGTAGTCTTTTAAATATTGAGCCTCTGAGGCTCTAATCACAATGGGTATAACAACACATTTCATTTTCTATAAGTGTTCAGTTTTGATCTGCAAGTCCTAGTATTTCATATTTTTTTTCCAATTTCCAATCCTCAATCTTAGCATCACCCAGTAAAGCAGCATCAATAACCAGATTTTCTTTTTTCCAATGACTGTTGTAGCAGGCATGTTATGAACAAGATGCCAGTGTATTTGGATCTTAAATTCCAATAGGATCTTAACCCAAAACCTTCTCAACTTGATGGACCCAGTAGTTTTTACTACATTCAGATCCAAACCTCTGGCAAAGTTTCCAATGAATAATTCTAGCAACTTGGTCATCATGCTACTGATAGGATTTTGCAAATATTATTAAAAAGTGTGAGCTTTTGTAGCTGTAGGTAGCAGAAAGGCTAGATAAATTTGTTAGTTGGAAAAGGTGCTACCAGAGTCCTCTTAATTGCTCTATTATCATACACTAACATGGGTCTCCTCCTCCAGTGAGTTGTGGGAATTTCTCCAAGCAATGACTCTACTGTATGGAGAAGCAGGGATCAATGATAATGACTCAAAGGGAATATCTCATTATAGGAACTAAATGAATTTTGCCATCAGTAACGATAGAAGAGAATAATCTGTAGATCACGGAATGAACTGTGGAGTGCTCTCTGAGCTTGGTTTTTTGCTTGCACAGATTTCATTACCCAATTTCACCATCAGTGTTTGGAATGAGCAGAAGAAAAAAGGATTGAAATGAAAAGCATATGTTTTAGTCAAATAGTACGGACAGAATATCTGTAGCTCAGGGTTGAACTGCAGGGTCTTTGGTGCTCTCTGAGCTTGGTTGTTTTCTTGCAGATGTTTCATTACCCAAACTAGGTAACATCATCAGTGCACTGTTAATGAAACATCTGCAAGAAAAAAAAAACAAGCTCAGAGAGAGCACCAAGGATCACATAGTCATACTGTGCTAGCTGCTTAATTAGGGAATGTTGTAATAATTATCTGAGTAGATGCTGCTCTCCTCATTGATTGATTTCAGGTCTGCCATAGTGCAGGATTCCAGATTCTTTTTCAAATGTTGGTCATTCTGATAGGTGCCAATATCTCAGTTGACATTGAAAGACACCATTGAAAGACTAAGCAAAGATATGAGTCGGAGCCATTTATATATTTTATCTATGTTTATTTCCTGTCTATAATTACCTCAAAGCTGCTTTTCTCCCTATAAAGAAACAAAATAGAGGTTTTAAGTCTTCAAACTCCGTTCCCCCTTCCCTCATATGAAGTATGGAGTTGTGCTGAACTCCTTGACTTTTTTATGTATTTTCCTATAAGAAGTGTTCAATCACAACCACTATTGTGAAATAATACTGACCTCTACTGGTCAGTTGGTTTAAATACATTTAACTGACCTTTATTTACACATATAGAACTTGCACAGATACTGATTTAAAAAAAAAACCAGTCTATCACCTTTTTACCTCCTTAATGACCTTAAACAGTCCTTAACATTGTACTTTCTGAGAGTCGTTGTTGGGAATTAGAAGATTGGCACAGTTGAGTCTATGGAACTCATAAAAAAATCTGCTTTTGTCTCATAGCATATCTGATTTGAAACTGATTTTGGAAAAAAAGTATCGTACAAGATATGGTGGCTTCTTAAAAAGCAAGCCTTTATATTGTACAGCTAATTCCTTTGAATCTTAACAATTATATTTTTTCAGTCATTGGCATTTTATTCATCATTTTTTTCTCTGATTTTTAGCATGTGAAGATGGGTATAAACTTGAGAATGACACTTGTGTGAGGTAGGAAAAATATGGAGCTGTTCTTTTCCTTGTTTTCAGTACTGTACTGAATGTAAGCCTAAGTCCATTGCATGGAGGAGGGAGAGGGTAGGAAGGAAAAGAGATCGTCTTCTGCCAGTTTGTTCTAGTGGTTAAGGACCAGGCTAGAAAGTGGGACTGTGAGTTCAAGTCCTGTCTTAGCCATGAAAGCCACTTGGGTGACCTTAGGCTAGTCACTCCCTCTCAGCCCAGCATACCTCACAGGGTTGTTGTTGTGAGAAAAATAGGAGGAGGAAGATGTGTTGAATATGCTCATCACCTTGAGTTATTTGTAGAAATAATGGTGGGATACAAATAAATAAAAAAGTATACAATGTTTGTTGCTCTTAGAGGAATGAACCAGGATCATAGGGCGTTGATGGGTCTCAGATAGCAATAGCACTTAGGCTTATATACCATTTCACAGCGGTTTACAGAGTCAGGAAGTTTTCCCCAACAATCATTTTACTGACCTCGGAAGGATGGAAAGTTGAATCAGCCTTGAGCTGGTCAGCATCAAACTGCTGGCAGTCGGCAGAATCACTGCATTCTAACCACTGCACCACCACGGCTCCACAGATGAATCAGTCCATGGGAAGAGACAGAGTATTAGCGTTAGAATTTACAGGAGAGGGATCCTTTTTACTTTTTTTACTCTATTCATCCAATCCATTTTAGATGAATGGATTCATGCTGAAGAGGTTGTGGTTCATACATAAGAGACTAAAACTATGTCTCCATTGTTTTCAGTTGTCCATTTGGATTGGGGGGATTCAACTGCAGGAATCGTATGTATCCAGTCCAATGTTCTTACTTATTCTATCTAGTTTTATTTGCATTCCTTAATTTTAATACTTCCTTCCATTGTAGTTTATCACTGATAAACATATCTGTGATAAATCACCTATAATTATATAAAACCAATCAATTTAGAAAATATTTATCTCAGAAGTATCTTAACCTACATAACTTAAATATAACATACAAACATTATATATTTATCTATATAAAATATAATTAAATTGAATATGCATTCAAAATTTACAATTCTTCCAGATTTGGTTACTGTTTAATATAATATATGTTAATACATTTTAATATATACTATACTGTGTTTAACATAATATATTTATAACTTTATAACCTTCTATCTTCCTTCTGCATTTATTTATTTGCTTGTTTACTCATTCAATTTGGATGCCACCTGACTCCAACTGACTCGGGGATGTGGATCTTTCCATTTTGTGAAAGGCTTATGCAAAAGGTTTAATTTGACACAAAATTTGCACCCATTTCTGATTGGAGGACTGGTGCCATCCTTTCAGTGTGGTGGAGAAAATGAGCTTATGTACGGATGCAGAATCCCTTCAAGCTGGACAAAATGCTTTGTTGAAAGATATGGCTGCTGCTCCCAAATATCTCGCTGAGGTGGATCCTGAAAAATACTGAACACACAATTTAAAAAAGAAAGAAAAGAAATTCAGCAGATCCCTAGAAAGATGATAGAACATAATATGGGATTCCGATCCAATAGCATTCCAAAATCCTTTCTTTAGTGCTCCCTAAACAAACTAATAGCCTTAAGGCTACCTTAAATTAGATGATTCAGGTAGATTGACAATCTGATTCCTTCTGGTTCATATTCCAAAACAAGACCTAAACATTTACTTGAGATCAGAAACAGAATGTCTGCCTTTGCAGGAGTTTTGAAATAATGTGACTCCCAAACCATATCGCCTTACAGCCTTTTGAACTAGCCAGAGTTTTTGGACTGTCCCAAAAAGAAGTTTGCAAAGGCAACAGTATAAGCTAATATTTTAATTAGTTTGTTATGGGAGTATTGTCATTCAGCCAAACTGTTTTTCGTTCAGTTCCCTCCAAGATCTGAGTTGGTTGAATCTGCCATTGGATGGAGATAAGCATTCCATGACTTCAACAAAGGTCAGAGTTTCCAGTTAAGGGACATTTTGCAGAGAACGGGAAACTGAAAGCCTCTTATTGCTAGTTATTCTAGTAAAAAAATATATAATGGCAGTTAAAATGGCCTGTTCTTTGTTTTAGCCTACCAGCTTATCACCATCGTGATTGCAGCAGCTGGAGGGGGACTTCTGCTCATCATGGGAATAGCTCTTATAGTCACGTGCTGCCAGTAAGTACCATAAATGTCTCATCCTTTGATTTTTTTAAAAACTATTTAAATAACATTAATAAGAAATAAAAACAGTTTTTAATTTTTGAAAAGGTTCCTATTGATTATATCTTTATTGATCAATTTGCTTTGCATGTTTAAACAATAGTTATCTTTGCAAACATCAGGAAGGTCCAAGAGGACAGAAAACAATTTCAACCATGTCATGAAGCCTGTGTTGGCAATAATAAGCAGATGTTCCAATACTGAATAGAGGAAATTGTTTTTTGAGATTATATATTTCATGTTACTAAAGAAGAGAGTTTGATATTCTTGTTTTCCTGCCTTCTGTCCAAACAACGTATTATATCCTAGCCACAATTCTGTGATCAGTAAATTAGGCTAAGAAAAATAATGTATATAATCCTCTAGCAATAGCAATAGCAGTTAGACTTATATACCACTTCATACTGCTTTACAGCCTTCTCTAAGAGGTTTACAGAGTCAGCAAATTGCCCCTCATTTCACCGACCTTGGAAAGATGGAAGGCTGAGTCAACCTTGAGCCAGTCAGAATCGAACTCCTAGCAGTGGGCATAGTCAGCCTGCAATACTGCATTCTAACCACTGCGCCACCACAACTCTACCCAATGAATGTTTAAGTAGGCACTTTTCCACTTCACACTATTTAGCCTGCAGATAAATGTATTTTTCTTTTCAGAAAGAATAAAAATGATATAAGCAAACTCATCTTCAAAAGTGGAGACTTCCAAATGTCACCGTATGCAGAATATCCCAAAAACCCTCGTGTTCAGGACTGGAGCAGAGAAACCATTGAAATGCAAGAGAACGGGAGTACTAAAAACCTATTACAGATGACAGATGTTTACTATATGGTATATATTCCTACATTGAATGAATGTCTGGGAAAGATAGGCATTTTGCAATAATTCAGAGACTCGTAAGAATAAAAAGCTGGATTCTCTTACCAATCGTTTAACATAAAAGGAAAATACAGCAAACAGTCACTGAGAAATGAACAAAATGAAGGTTATGAGATGATTCATATTACAGTATTTCATACAGACTTGGATTGGCAGCTATGATAGCTTCTTCAATAATGTTCAAATACAGGTTGACCTCAACTTACAACCATTTGTTTAGTGTCCATTCAAAGTTACATCAGAACTGCAAAAAAGTGATTTATGACTGGTATTCACACCTAAGACTGTTGCAGCATCCCCACGGTCATGTGATCAACATTTGGGCATTTGGCAACTGGGATATGTTTATGACCGTTGCACTCTCGTGTGATCGCCATTTATAAACTTCCCAGCTGACTTCTGACAAGCAAAATCAGTGAGGGAAGTCAAATTTGCTTAATGGCTGCATGAGTCACTTAACAACTGGAATGATTTACTTAGCAGCTAGGGCAAAAAAAAAGTCATAAAATGGGGCAAAACTCACTTGCCTTGCTCAGTGATGATGGAAATTTTGGTCTCGGTTATTGGTCGTAAGGCGAGGACTACCTGTATTGCAGGTTGTAGGTATCCACTGCTTTGCCTGCATCTAAAACCTATTAGAATTCTTTTCTTTGGGTTTTTAAATTTTAAAATACTTTTAAACTAGTTGCCAAGTTGTTGATCATTGATCAGGAATGTATTTCCTTTGCATGATTGGATTCCCAAAGATGTTTATCTAAGTTAGATGATAATGGAAAGAATACTATTGGATTGATTTTATATACGTGTATTTGTCCTGTTCCTTTGACCACTTTCCTTTTTTGTTTTGGACACTATAATGTTTTCCATTTATTGTATATTAATTTTTAAATCCCAGGGGGTTGGAATGCAATGTTCATTATTATTGAATGGCTTCCAATAGGAGAATGGCAAAGAGATATAATCCCCTCTGTTTCTAGCAGCATACGAAGCTGAAAGAAAAGGAAAAGCTTGAAGGGAAAAGTGCCTGCCAGAGAAATATTTAGCTCTGTGTCCATTTAAAAAAACTGACAAGTGTTGAATTATTCTTTCCTTCTTTTCTATGTAAATCTCTCCCCTTTCAGCCAGCTAATCTAAGGAATCCTGAACTAGAAAGAAATGGAATCTATCCGCCCTACACAGGTCTTCCAGGATCTCGACACTCCTGTATCTACCCTGGGCAATATAACCCATCCTTCATTAGCGATGACAGCAGAAGAAGAGATTATTTTTAACGCGGGTGGAAAAGGCAGTTGGGTAGCAAATGAGACCTGTGTATGCAGTGTGTTTCCCAAGTATGCAGTCATCAGACAACTCGGTCACAACTGTGTACAGAAGGGGACTTTAAAACTTGGAAACTGTGGAAAACCCCGGAAGGAGCTGCACACAAGGAGCCATTCTCCAGCTCTTGCTGAGCGGCGAAAAGAGGGCAGGTGTGAAAAGCAAGTCCATGCGTCTGGTTGTTGGGAAAGACAAAGGAGAAACTCATTCTGTGTATTTTCCTCACCACTAATTGTGTCACATAATGTGAACATAATAATAGATCGTGAAAGCAAAACTAACAAACACTGTGGATGACACGCTAAATCTGATGCCATTAGGGTGTGTTGTGTTTACAGATAGTATCTAGTGTGCTAGGTTTGTGTTGCCCAAATTTGTTAATGCAAAGCTGGCTTGAATGAATGTTATGGAATGAATCCTTCCTCTGTTGCCAGGTGTCTGCTAGGAGGTACTTACAGCATGTTGCTCACCTAGTGGTGGAGATGGGTACGGGAATGTGGCCTAGAGATATGGGATCCTCATGCAGAACCCAAGGTGGGGTTTTATCCCTCCTGAAAAGAAAAAAAAATGATTCTCCCATGATCTGTCCTGTTACTTGGTTATGGCCTAAGTTTTACCAGTGCTACTTAACTCATTGACCTTATTCATTATTCCCTAGGCCAGATACAAAAAAGTTATGTTTAATTATGTTCTGTGGATTTTTTTTCTTCCTTTCTAATGTCTAAAGGTAATGAGGATGTAGATCTGTCTATAGAGATTCTCAATTATCCAGGTCATAGTTGTCCCAAAGCTGCTTTTTCCAAAAGGCAGCTAGACTTTACTTTTTTCTTTGAAAACCCTTTTGCTTCTCAACCAAGAAGCTTCTTCGGTTCTATTGAAGAAGTTCTAACTTCAGTTAGAATTGAAGAAGCTTCTTGGATAAGAAGTGAAATATTTTCAAAGAAGAAAATATTTGGAATGAGGGCGTAGATCATCTGCATGTAATACAATCTTCTCTAATAGATTATATTATCCAGAACCTGGCAAAGTTTTTCCAGGTCTGCAAAGTTGCTCCTACATCATTGCACAATGTAAAGTTTGTATTAGTGCACAAAATGTACAAACAGAAATAATGCAAGACAGCTTAATCTCATACTGTATATTACTTAATTGCTCATAGACTTCTTTATAACATTTCCTGATTTATTTATTTATTTTTTTAAAAAAACCTTTGGGGAACTTTGATATTTGTTCTAAACAAGTGCTATTCTGAAAAGAGATCTTTGTCAAGGTGTGGCAAGTTGGTAGGTATGGCTGAGTGGAACTTGAACTTAATTATGAAAGTTCACGAATGGCGAAGGACCAGGTGTGCAGATTATTCATTTGCATTAGAAGAGTACAGAATGTGAGCAAATTGAACAGAAGATCAGGTGATCAGTTCAACTTTGGTCCATCAGAATCACATGGAGCAGACTGTGCTTACCTTGTGCAGTAGTTCCCTATTTGCAACACTGTACAAAATAGTACACAAAAATATACAGTGACGCAGAAGAAAAAATGCACAACAGAGGCTGCCACATCCAGTTTGCCTCCAGGATTGGCTACTCAAAATGGAATAATCTATGAAGTCCCTGGAACTATCCTCCATGGTTATACCTAATTCAGTAATCAGAGGAGTAGACAGTTTAGCGCTGGTGATATTTTGGGGGCATACTATGGCCTAGTAATAAAATACTCATTTAGACAAAAGGCAAGGCAATGAGGTACGTCCATTCACCAATTTATTTATTAAGAATGCCTCTGATGTCTGACACGTTGTCAGAAATATAAGTTGTTTTGTAGGATGCTACTTTGCTTTAGAGCAGACTAGCATCACATTCATTGTTTCAAATTAAAATCCAGAAGAAGAAAAAAATAGGGAAGAAAGCTTCATGGGCATCAAAAGACACAATGTTATCTCTGGCCATAATGTTGGAAATCCAGGAATTATAACAATTGTCCAAGGTATTTCTGGGAAAATTGATCATTTCAAGAAGCTAAGATAAAACTAAAGCAGCCACATCTGTACATCTAAGCATATATTGCTCCTCTTCTGTTTATAGACTAAGTAGGGTCTAATGATAGGACAGGTGGAAGGAAAGAAAAGAGGGCAACCTATAGCAAGGTAGATGGAACCAGTAATGGGTACACCATTGGAAGACTTGAAAGACCAAGTTAGGGACAGATCATCTTAGAGAAATTCTATGCGGTCACTAAGGACTAACATTGACTTGATAGCATATATGCAATCAAAGTAGATGAAGTAGCTTTTCCTCAACCTATGCAGAGACTATAATAGAAGGTTATTTTCTCAAAACACCTGGAACACACCAGGTTGGGAAAAACTGTATTTTATTTCAGTCTTTAACTTCTCCGTTTTTGAAATGATGTAGAAACAATGTGTTGACAGTATTTATATTGAACTGTGTGCTATTCAGATTGCTGCCTTCTAAACTGGGATTTACTGCATGATGAACTTAAGACTGTAGAAAGCCCTCCATTATGTGAAGATTTTTCCCAAAGCTGATTGGACTAGAAGACCTCCATGGTCCTTTCCAACTCTGTTATTCTGATCCTGCTTCATAGGAAGTATAAGTGTGAATTATTGGATCCAACACAACATAACTTGGGGCCGAAGGAGTGGGGTGGGGGAGCCTTTCAGCATGAGTCAAATTGTATTTGTGCTGCCTCATGATTGCACATATACACCCAAAGAGATGGTCAATGCTGCCATGAACTAGCAACACTGCCCTTACTAACTATCTACTTGATAGCTCCACAAACAACATGGTAGGTCAATGTGTCTCAAGCAGGACTTTGTTTTTAGACAGGAAAAAAAAAACATCTGTGGTCTATGTTCATTTTCCAAGAAAGGTGTCATTCCCTTAGTTTAAACAACCAAACTGTTACTTACACCATCAATTTATACCACAAGTTTAAACAAAATATCTAATTCCTTAATTGAATCCTGTCATTATATCCTTCAACCTGAGTGAATCCTGCCATTAAATATCCTGGAGATTGAGGTTTTGTACTAGATGGATAGGTTTCATATACTGTAGTGAATTCTTATCATTTTGGCCAACCATCATTCTCAGTATTTCCTTGGGGACAACCATAACAATTTCTTAACTTGTCATAAATAGGCACATATTTCCACTGCAGATGTATTCTTCAAAGATGATAACAGTGAAAGCTCTGTGGAGTTTAATTTTGTTGCCAAGCAACAAAAAAAAACCCTTCCCTCCATAAAGGGGAACCAAAGTAGTTATTAATTTATTTAGCTGAAATAATTGGATTTTTCCAGGTGATCGTCTTGAATCATCATTGTTTAATATCAGCGTGCTGAAACTGATGTTTAAAAACCTTAATTGGGTTTTATTTATTTACTTTTTACAAAGGGCAAGCTTGACTATTTTGAGAAAATATTTAAGGTTATGAATATATGTACTTATATGAAATACATTCTAACAAACCAAATAATTATTTCCCTTGGAGGCCTGGCCTTCTGATGATAACATAAATATCTATAAGCATAGGCATATTAATTCAGGGGTGATCAATTATGCTGGCCCTCCTCTCAGCTGTATTAAAATTGCCTATTCCTGCTTTTCTTTGTGAAATTTATAAATCAGATATTTTTTGCAAGAAAATAATAAGCACTGATTTCTATGAAATTAGTTTGCTTCACAGAAAGTTCTCCAGAGCATCATGTATTATCTTACATCATTTGTTAAAATTTTAACTCCTGAGTATGTGAAAAGTTTGAACCTAATGTTAGTTTTACATGAAATCTCCGTCTTTCGTTTTGTTATAAAATTTACATTTGTTACTTTTATTAGGTCATGCTCAAAGCTGCATGTGATACCTTCAAAGAGAAATCATGCCTTGTGTTTTTCTCCATGATGACCCTGAATTACTGACCATTAATGACTTGTAATTATTGTATTGTACCTTGTTCAGCTTTGCATATCTGTGAACATATCTTCTGATTTGTTTTGGTTATTTTATTTCCCCACACAGTGTTATTTAAAATCGTATCTTATTTGCAACCTTCACTAATTATACAGTAATGTAGTTCTAAAGTATAATTTCTAAAAATTGGATTATTTTTATACCAGCATCCAACATATTTGAACTCTGGCGTTATAGTCAGTATGTTAAAAAAAAGGCTACAATAAAAGTATTAATAATATTCTCAACATGAGTTTTTATTGGAACAATCGGGGTGTTAACCAAAGCTACGCTTCCATATGGAAGAAATAAGTATATTCTTGTCTTCATATAGACATAGGCAAATAACTATGGCTGTGGATTTTGAGATCATCGTGTATAAAAGTAACATTAATTCTAGAATCCTGGGACAGATGAGGAATCTTAGCAGATGCATTCAGATGTGTGCATTTATTGAATTTGTACACAAGGGTCTTCATTTAATATTGCAAATGAAGACAGCATGAGGCAGGCTTTCCTGGGAGTAGTTTAATAACTGGAATACCATTACCATAAAGTTTTTCTTCTAAGAGGCAACCTTACTGATGGGAGCAAAGCAAAATATTGGAGGTTCTTCTCAAGAATATATAGAGTGTATATATGGAAGAAAGTAGCTTATAATATAACCTTGTCCCAAGTTGTTTAATATTTAAAAGAAGAGTGGACTGTCAAGCCAATTATGCAAGCCACTTTACGAATGATAAACATGTAGGTGAAGCCAGGACTTTGTCTCTAATGAAGTCTATTTTAGGGTTCTATTTACATCTATATAGTATATATTTACTGTATACTGTGTATGATAAAGGCTTCTTCAAACTGAGCTTGGCTTTTGACATCCCAGTCAAAAGCTAACATCTTTGCTATGAGACAGCTTGCCATGAGACAATTAAATGTATGAATCGTTTCATCAATTACTTTTATTATTGGTGACCACATTTTTGTTGAAATTGTTGTAACTCTTGTATTTCCGGATTGACTTTATTTTATTAATATTGACCACAATTCCATTGAAATTAATTTAACTTTTGTATTCGTTGAATTGTCCAGTGGCAAGTTGTCTCGTGGTGAGTTGACCGTGGCAAGTTGTCCCACGCTGAGTTGGCCATGGTGAGTTGTCCCTTTTTACATTGATATAATAGCCACCATCAATTGTAAAAAATAAGAAAAGGTTTGGAGGGACAAAGCCTCTTTCCTCATCTTATGAGTCAACTCTCCATGTATCAGGCTCAGGAAAATGACAATAATGCCATCTCAGAACCGAAAATAAATACTTACTGTGCAATTCTTTAATTTATCCCTGGTCTAGAACAAGATGGAAATCGTTTAGCAAAATAGGCCTATCAGAGACCAACGTTAGCTTCAACTTATCTAGAGACTTTGGACTAAGGTTTGGTTTGATTCCACCAAAGTGCAGAATTTTAGTTGTCCAGAGAATCCTGTTCAATTTGGTGCAGCTGGAGAAAGTTTCATTCCATTACAGAATACCTATTAAGGCCAGAGCCTGATTTTATACTGTATGTAATCTGTTCATAACCAGTAAACTCCCGACTTTTTTTTAATGGTTGCATGTGATTATGTCCTAAATATAAGTTATCACTTTGAATCCAAGGGAAATGGTAATGGTCAAATGCATTGTGGTCAAGCAGAGAGGCTGTTCTTAATTCTACTTTTGCGCAGCAGAAGCAAAAAGGGGCTTTGAGGTCCTAGGTTAATTCGGTCTAAATTTCCCTTCAGGCAAGAAGAACTTTATTTATATTGTTTATTTATTAAATTTGTATGCCGCCCATCTCACCAAGAGTCTAGATAGATTACAGTCAAGTAAAAACAACAAGATAAAACCTTAAAATATTAAAATAATAAATATTAACATTAAAATTGGCTAAAAATCATCAAAGTTGGAAAGGAAGGCAGCAAAATTCTCCACAGGGTGGAGCTGGAATCTTATCTCAATCCATTAACTACCACCAGACCCTTTAAAGGCTTTGGATCCAAAAGTCCTCGTACCCCATCCTTGCTGATAAAGCAAATCCCTTACATGATTTTTCTAACACTTTATTGCACCTGAAAAAAAAAGAGGCTATGAATACTATCAAAGAAAGAAGGAAGAAAAAGAAAAAGTGTTATGAACTTTCTCCCTGAGATTGGAACACTTCCTCCAATCCTAAAGGGAAAATCCAAACGACTCTATTGTAAGGAAGTAGATAATAATCTTACTGTGATCATTTGACCTGTACTAACAAGAAAACCAAGATGATGGCATCTGGCCCTCTCAATTCCTGGCAAATAGATGGGGAAGAAATGGAGATAGTGACAGATTTTATCTTCCTGGGCTCCAAGATCACCGCAGATGGGGACTGCAGCCAAGAAATCAAAAGACGCTTGCTCCTAGGGAGGAAAGCTATGGCAAATCTAGACAGCATACTAAAAAGCAGAGACATCACCCTGCCAACAAAAGTACGTATAGTCAAGGCCATGGTTTTCCCAGTTGCACTGTATGGCTGCGAAAGTTGGACCATAAGAAAGGCTGAGCGCCAAAAAATTGAGGCCTTTGAACTATGGTGCTGGAGAATACTCCTGCAAGTCCCCTGGACTGCAAGGCGCTCAAACCAGTCAGTCCTAGAGGAGATCAACCCTGACCGCTCTTTAGAAGGCCAGAACCTGAAGTTGAAACTCAAGTACTTTGGTCACCTAATGAGAAGGAAGGACTCACTGGAGAAGAGCCAAACGCTGGGAAAGATTGAGGGCAATAGAAGAGTGGGACAACAGAGAATGAGGTGGCTGGATGGAGTCACTGAAGCAGTAGGTGTGAGCTTAAATGGATTCCAGAAGATGGTAGAGGACAGGAAGGCCTGGAGGAATGTTGTCCATGGGGTCGCAATGAGTTGGACACGATTTCACAACTAACAACAACAATAAGATAAAATGTAAGATAAAAAATTGTATTAAAAATATTCCATATTTTTCCATATTCCCATCAAGATGATAAATCAAAACTCACTTAAAATTACTTAGCTCTCTAGTGGGAGACAATGCAAACAATAGTAGAGACTATCTATCTATCTATCTATCTATCTATCTATCTATCTATCTATCTATCTATCTATCTATCATCTATCATCTATCTATCTATTTCATATGCCACCCATCTTACTACCCAAAGCAACTCTGGCCAGCTCTATAATATAAAATATTTAAGAGTGTAGCTCAGGTCTAAAACATCTATGACAATAATGCTAATGAACTGGAACACCTGTTTACAACAATCCATGCAAGTCCAAGGTCCTAACTAAAAAAGCATCAATTAATCATCCATTAGTGGCTTAAAATAGTACAGCTCATGGTAATAAAAGTTGCACCAGATTGTGAAATATAGTCAGATGAAACATACTTGGAGGAAACCACTGAAATCAACGAGGGTTGAATTAGTTATGATGAATATAATAAGAGGAAACTCACTGCCAAATGTATTTTATGTATATCTTAGATATGCATATTTAAATACTTCTTAAGGTATACCTATATACGAAACTGGGTTCTTTCTTAATTATTAAATATGTTTTGGAATTACATAGCATTTCTTTGGAGTCTGGTTATTTCTAGGCATTTTCAATAATCTGGCTTTTTTTAAGATATGGCTTAAGCTTGAGTCCATCCAACTGAACAGCTGGACGATGTGCATGCATCTACTATTTCATCTGTTTTAAAGAATTTCATATACAGATGTGTTGCTTTTTTACTGAAATTCATGACAGACTATGTGCAAATTAATTAGCAACAAACTCTAAGGAATTTATCTTACAGCAAGGCAGACAGGTTGAAAAACCTGTTTCTTAGAGACCAGATCTGTTATGCAACTGAGCATCACTTTCCACAAATTCAACTTTTATGTAGAGAATTAGTGATGGAATCTTCAGGGTTTCACTTTCTGTTTAGCTACTTATTATTAATCACCTGGGATTCCTGGTAAAACATTGCTTTGTAGTTCAAACTATGAATTTAGCTGAAGGAGGTTGAATAGTTTCTGCTCTTTTCTTTCACCTTTCACCCACGTGACTATTTCACTTCTGATAATGATTTCTTCCGGGATCATGAATTCAGCAGAATAAACTTATATCACAAGTAATCTTGTAGGATCCAATCTGGGTCAGTCACCAGGATCAGAAGTTTAGTCTTCCAAGCTTTCGGACTCATTCTGGATCCCATGCTTGGAGTACTGCTCTCTATTGGAATGAGAAGATAGAGTAATAGAAGTTTCCTGAGGATCGGCTCCAGTGCAAGAGTCCGAAAGCTCGGAAAACTAAATCTCTGATCCCAGATTGGATCCCGCAACATTATCCTGGGACACGTATATTTGCCTTCATTCACAAGTAATCTTATCTTACTTGGTTAAAGGCCAAGGAGAAACAATGGGAAAATTGGTGATCGAAGCATGAACAAAATAAAATCACCTATTTATTTTCACAAATTCATTCCTCAGCTAAAAAGGCATAGAGATGCATAAACACTCCATAATTATATTGATACTAATAATATGTATTCTGAAATAAGTTTGTGGTATCCATCAAATGCAATTACTGCATAAAAGCAAATAAGTTCATGTAACAAGGGAATAAAAAACATCCAATTAGACTTCAATCTAATTGTCCTTTGGAGGATGTCCCGGGGATATGAGATGTTTCAGAGTTCTCTTTTTGTAACTGAAGAAAAAGCTTTTGAGTTCTGAACAGGTCAATCTAGCCTTGAATTTCCCCTCTCGGACAGTACCTATACATTTCTCCATTTTTTCCCTTTTTATCATCAGAACTTGAACATGGAGAGATAAGAAAGAGAGAACAGGTACAGTATGTTGTGTGTGTGCATGGGGGGAAATCATGGGAATTTAGGGTTTGTTCATCTTCTATGCCTACAAGAAAAATAGACAGTTATGGATACTGATCCAAATTCTCCTCAATTTCTTTTTTAAAAAATGCATCCAAGAGGATAGGCACAACCTTTTATGTCAATTTATTTTCTAATGTAATAAGATGGGGTTGGTTTTTTCTGCAATTTCCAAACCCTAATAGTATCTCTAACATTAGTTATCCTATAAAACAGAAAATAAGTATTGACCTTTAAAAGAACACTTAAAATCTAGTTCAGTGACTAACAGAAGACACCCACTGGTGCCTTCAGTCACCACCGTTTCTGCTTTCCTCAATTAGATGTAGGAATAAAAAAAATTAATCCATTTCCTTTTTTCACATACTATTTTCTATAAATAATGGGAAGAAAAAGAAAGATAAACAGGTAGCTTAAGTAATATTAGCAATGTCTAAACCATTCTAAAGGAGCAATCCAAGGAGGGCAACAAGAAGAAAGGTGGAGAAAGACTTGAGTGCAGGGACTGTTCATACTGGGTGAAGGGAAGAAAATAGAATGGTCCATTTAGCACAGCAGTGAAACAATAAAACCTTGGAGGGCATTGGAACCATTCTACTCTGTTACTGAAATGCCAACTTTCACCATCTCCAGAGAGGATTTTATGATGAAGGTTCAAGTTATTGGATGAACGTTTCAGCAGCATCTGGAAGAAGACTTCCAGAAGAGAACATCTTTTTCCAAGGATCAGTTTTCATTTCCACCTGAAGAAAGGAAAACTTGCAAAAAAAATCGATGTCTCCTGAGAATAAAAATAGATTGTGTTGTCTTTTAGTTGGCATTCAGAGTCCTTTCAGAATCCTTCAATTAACAAGAAAACAATCCCAGAGCACATGTAAAAAGTACTCATTCTCGATATTGTATTTGAAAAATTTAATCAGAAGTAACTCCTATGGTGTTTTCCTTAATTCATGGAGACTTAATGACTACTTAACTACATATTTGATTGTTGTAATTGCTTAGAGTAGAGAAAAAGGCTCTTTGCTTAGATATGTTTTGATTGCTATCCTTTCAAAATCCAGACTTATACATCTAGAAGTTTTATGTGAAGTTTTATAATTTTTGGACTTCTAGAACAATCTCAGTCCCTTTGAAGCAAAAGTTAGTTTGGAAACAATTCCCCTTCCCATTATTTCTTTCCAGAGGGAGGAGAGACCTAATGTTTGCTCTTTTATGAATGTTAAGAGCCATTTCAACCTCCATATGAATGTAGTAACTGGGGTATTGAACTTCTGGTGACATTAAATGCATCCCACAATATCTGTGAGCATATTAGGAGGGATGGTGGGGTTCAGAACTAGACCTGGGACCCAAGAAACAGCCTTGTGTTACTTCTGTTCATCAACTAATTTGTTAACAACAAGCAAAAGGATTAGCATATCCTACTCATTAATGGACACTCTTGTGTTTAGAATTATCTATTGAAGCATATGTTCGGATCAAGTTGAGAAATACATTAAATGTCTATTGTACTTCAAGGTTTGGAAGGTCTTTGGCCATATATTAACTGATATGATCCACCTATAACTCTGATGTCAATTAAAATGTGAACTCTGTCCTCAGCCTAGTGATGTAAAGGACGCTAATTTAAGGGGCGAAGCACTTCCTTGTAGGATTAGCAGGGAGACACTGCAGCTATGAAAAGCTTCACATTTTTCGGTGTTCTATGGCTCGCCCTCGGTAAGTGGCACCCTTTTCTGAAAATTTTGATTAAGATCCTCTACTTCTCTTATAAAAACTAAACTAAAATATATTATTAAGCCAATGATTCAGTATTATATAGAGTGATCCACATCTGACTGCCCATTGATTTACATAGGACAGAGTGACATCATGATCTCCAATAATGGATGAATACTGTTCAATAACATTGAACTGCTCCTGTCTCATCTTGCTTCTTTTCATCCGCATTATGGCTAAACCAGGATCACTTCTCGGATAACAATGGAAAACAGAAGTCAAGGCTTGTGCTTGGTTTCTGATGTATGCTTTATCTGGGAGTGGCAAAACAAATATCCTGGTATACACAACCAGTGGCAAACAGACCATGGATGGAGCTTTTCAAATAGTTTAAACCAGTGATGGACCAAATTTTTGACAGTTCAGAAATTTAAAATTATTTTATTGGCAGCCAGAGCCTATGGAGATGAAATTTAGAAGTCATCTAAGTGCCTGTGATTAGATTTTCTGGGTCTTCTTTCCAGGATTTCATGATGTGGGAGATTTCTTGTAAACTGTTTTGCACAATCAAAGCCTAAATCCGTGTAGGAGGGAAAGGGGAAAATTGTCCCTGTGTTATTTGGAAATTTATTCCTGAATTTTAATGGCACAGTCTCCAGAAACTCTGGAAAGGAGTTCCAAAGTGTGAAACTCATGGGCCAGCCCTGTTTTCTCTGCTCTCAGTGGCAGGAGACATTATGCAATAACAACTAACTGAATATAGCTGCAAATTTTCTTCAACATGACAAGCCAACAGTCTTTAGTTTGACTTAGTGTTACTGAAAAAAACTGATTCTCCTGTGTTTCAAAGAAAGGCGTTGATCCAAGCATATCTTTCCCTTGGGAAAATACTCTCCAGAATAAGAAAAACATTTCCTCATTAAAAGAATCCAAAATGATGGGTTGGATCTTTGAATTCAACCTGAACTAAACTTAGCTGTTTGATGAAGATCAAGTATAAACTTAGATCTTTTCTTGCTTGGCATTGTTAAAATTCTAATATTTGCTCAAATATCTTCCTTTGCTCAATAATTTATCTAAGTCACAATGCTTTTTAATCCCACAGTAGTTCATGGGCCAAATAGTTTCTTACATTTGATGGTGGCAGTGGTAATGTGCGGTACAGCTCCATTTTCTGACAACAGTGAAAGTTGTAAGAAAGCAAAGTGGAAGGTTTTAGCTTGAGAAGATTTTCATTCCTTTTCTGAGTAAAATAATTATGGATGATTTTGAAATAGTTGAAATCTATTCTGCTAATTGCTTTTCAGTAGTTCAACTTTTTTTGAACTATTTTTCAAGTATTTTTTTGTGAAATTGCCCAGTCCTAAAAAAAAATCTATTGTTTTATATATATAGTTCCGAAGTTGCATAAACAGCTCTCTTTAGAATATCAAAATTTCAGACTAGATAAAACTATAGCTAATGTCCCCTTCCCTAAGACCTGTATAAAATCTCTTGAAAATACTGTGCTATTGGTCTATTTAAAGTACAATTAATATCTCCTACTGTATTAAACAACTTCACAAGAGATATCATTGATTGCTTAGTAATACTTTATTAGATGTGTACTTCATAATTTGATAATTTGTACAATGTTATACCAACACTCTTATTTTCCTCTTATCTCAGCCATTTTGAAATCAATGATTTTATACCAAAACATTAATAGCTATGGCAGAAAATAAACGTAATAGAATTTGGACTAAATGATTTTAATGGCTCTATTGTGTTAAATAGCAACTACAAAATATCTAAATATTACCAAGAGAAACCGTGTTTCCCCCCCAAAATAAGACTGGGTCTTATTTTTATTTATTTTTGCCTCCAAAAGAGGCACCGGGTCTTATTTTTGGGGGCTGTCTTTTATACTCACCTCCAGCACTGAAAGCTCCTCCCAGCCAGTCCACTTCTTCTGCGGCTGAAGGAGCAACTTCATTCTGCAGCTGTATTTCATAGTCAGGCCTTTCTGGAAGGTTTATGCAGCCTAGAACTGAGCTATAGATTCAACCATAGCTCAGTCCTCGGCTGCAGAGGTCTTGCAAAACCAAGCTATGGATTCAATCCATAGTTTGGTTCTCAGCTGCAGTGGTCTTCCGGAAAGGCCTGTGACTGAAGAAATGCAGGCCTTGCTGCAGAAGATGCCACAGAAGAAGTGGGCTGGCGAGGAGAGGCCTGGCTGCAAGGTAAGTGGGTGTGAGGCATATGGGGCAGCTCCACACCCCCAACTTGATTTTTAGGCGTGTGCCTTGCCCCAAAATTAGGCCTTATTTTTGGCATAGGGCTTATATTGGACTCTCTCCTAAAAATCAAGCTAGGGCTTATTTTGGGGGCAGGCCTTACTTTCGGGAAAACACGGTAGTTATCCACAAAATATATTTAAATTACAAATTGGTTTTACTTCTTTATGCATTCCAATTTATATCTGTTGCCATTTGCAGTTGTCTGTATTGTTATACAACAATAACAATAAAAGATATTAAAACATACACCATATAACATTAAAATTCATAAAATGAAATCAGGTAATATGCCAATAATGAAGCTCTTGGGGGAAGTACGGCAAACTGAAGATAGCTCTGGGAAAGTTTTCTGAACTATTTCTTTTCCTTACTGGATTTACAAATGACACTTATTAAAACCTTGAAGAACTCCATGTGATTGAATAAAGAAGAAATGAAGAGAAATCAAATCATACAGCAATATTTGAATGAACTAAAGATTAAAAATGTTAGAAGTAAAAGGAAAGTTTATAAAGTTGGCTTATTTGATCAATGTTAAAATAAATATGCTGTTACTTCTGTTTACTCATTTTGGACTTTCTGCTGACATAAGGATGGAAAAGATGATGTTTTATGGATTTGTTCATAGACAAGAGATAGAATATGGGATGAAAAGATGTTTATAAACTTAAAGCTGGCGAAGAGTCACTTAATGTAGTTAAACCTTCAAACTGAAGGTTTGAACTCAGTGCTTTATGTATTTCCTTTCTTGTTCTTTACTATATTCTTATCTTTTCTCTTTCTTCTTCTTTTTCTTTCTCGTGGGAAGCCAGATTCACTTAACAACTGCACAATTCCCTTAACAAATGCAGCAATCCGCTTAACAACTATGGCAAAAAGGTTGTAAAATGAGGCAAAGCTAATTGTTCTTAATTGGTGCTAAGCAGCCTGGTTGTCAAGTGGGTCACACCCAGTTTTGTGAACTTTTCTCCATGGTCATTTAAAAAAAAAAATTCACAGAGCTGTTAAGCGAATCTACCTTACCCCATTGATTTTGCTTATGGAAAGCCAGCTGGGAAAGTCACAAAAAAGTTATCAAGGGACCTGGGATGCTGCAACCATCATAAATATATCTCAGTTGCCAAGCACTTGAATCATAATCACATGTCCGCGGGCACTGCAATTGTCATGGGTGTGAAGGTTAGTCATAAGTCACTTTTTTCAATGCCATTGCAACTTTGCATAGCTATAAATAAGCAGTTGTAAATCAAGGACTAGCTATACATAACTGCAGCTGTATCATAGGCTGAAGTTGCTAATGTTGGTTTTAATACATTTAAGTATTATAGATATTACAGTCTAAATCTATTTTTCGAAACCCTGGCAATTTCCAGAATTCTCAGCAATGAATTTTCACTTATTTGGCTAAGTTTTGGACTGCTATATTTACTTAAAAGAAGACAATCTTGACTTTAAATTATCCCCCTAATAAAAGAAGACTAGTGTAGTCAGAAATAAATCAACACAGTTACAATACTCAGCTTTCACATTCAAATTTAGATTGTCAGCTTTAGCTGAAAACAATCTTGATAAATTCCCCCTCCAATAAATATGTGGTATAGCTTTACAGATGTATATCTGATATATATTTGAGCCAGATACTATTCCTAATAAAAGAGGCAGGGGTCAGATAAAAAAAAATTATATTAAATGATTGTAATCAATTAAAATAATTGCCTGTGAAATTACACACTCCATTTTCATAATTAATCAATTCCTATCCACATATAGCGATCATTCTCTCTTACACAAACAAGATTTCAGTCACATCCTAAGATACACATTTTCATCCTACCTTTCAGCTAAAACAGGAAATTAACAAAGATGGAACCTGCAGGAAACGGAAGAGCTATTCTGAGAAGGGAAAGGGAAAGAGAAAGCAGGGAACAAAACCCAGAGGAGATGAGCCAGCAAACAGGGATAACTGAACAGGGAAAGAAAATTATGATTTGTTGTTATGAAAGAATTACATTCACTGTAAGCAGCCCCCTTCCAAAGCAATAACTAATCTTTAGGCCAAATTTCAAAAGCACAGTCTTCGTAGGAGCCTTTTTGCTGCCATTTGCAAGGAGATCAAATCAGTCGATCCCAAAGGAAATCAACCCTGATTGTTCTGCGGAAGGACAGATTTGGCGCTTTGGCCATCTAATGAGAAGAGAGGATTCCTTGGAAAATACCCTGATGCTGGGAAAGATGGAAGGCAAAAGGAGAAGGGGGTGACGGGATGAGATGATTAGATAGTGTCATCAACACAATGAACATGAATTTGGGCAAACTCTGGGAGGCAGTGGAGGACAGGGGGGACTGGCATGTGATGGTCCATGGGGTCTCAAAGAGTCTGATACGACTTAGCGACTGAACAACAACAGTACTTCTTATTCGTTTCTTTGTTTTCAACTGTCTCCTTATCAGAAGTATATCTATACCTTATCTTTTCCTGTCAGGGCATGTAAGGCCATCCTCCCAATCCATGATTGACTATTTGCCATATAACACTGAGCCTCGTACTGGTAAGTAAGATTTATTTGTCTAAGACCTGCATAATTATGTTGTCTACTAAATGAATCTACTGTCTATAAGATTGCCCCACCCCCCAAAAATCCCATTCATTTTCAAATAGATTTGCATAATTCAAGGGGATTACCGAAAATGCATAAGTGCACTTGTTCCCCCTTCAGAGAATTTCCTTTTTATTATAAGTTTAATAGCTTTTAACATAGACTGCCATGTTTTTATTGAAGACATGTAAATTCTTAGCTGACAACTGAAGAAATATAGCTCAAGTTTGGATATAGCATTTGAAATTAGAACTGCGCTTACCATGAACCCAATGTGCAAGTTTCATGTGAGAGAACAGGAGAGGATGAAAAAGCTGCCAGTGTCTTCTTTATTTTCCAACACTTGACTGCAGCTTTAAAACAATAAAGCCATCGCATACTGCTTTGGTTGTTAGTTTGCCAAGTTTTTTAGAGGATAAAAATGTAAAATGAAGTTGCAGAGCATACTTAGAGGGAAAAGTGGAGTGAAAGCCGAAGGCAGGAATAAGGAGGAAATAAAATGAAATAAAATAAGCAGCAACAGCCAGCATACAGACATAATGGTTGCTTAAGCAAAGCTAAACTGAAGCTTTTAATTCTTGCTATCCAGGAGAAGATTCACTAGTTCTCCTGGTCACAAGCACAAGGCCTGAGAAGTCCAATCTGTCCAGGCAAATGATGATGATGAACCTTATTAATAAATTTATTTTAATTTTGTTTTTCCTTTAGAACCCTGTCCTAATCAGATGTCTATCTATGGTGCTAAGTGTCTCCAGCTCTTTAGCAAGAATATCTACCAGTGTCCTTATGGGTTCTACTATAATTCAAGTTGCAGGCTAGGTGAGTAGCGGCCAGAAGTTTAAAAAATGGTCATAAATCACTTTTCTCAGTGCCATTGTAACTTTGAACGGTCACTAAACAAAATGATGTAAGTCAAGAACTACCTGTATAGGGTTAGCATATAGAATCTTGGGAAGTTAATAAGCCAAAACTTTAACCTTTATTAGTTAAATGGTTAGGGTGAAGATAACGGGAAGCTTGCTTTCAGAATGGCAGGCCAAGAACTAAACACCATTTTTCTAGATAAGACTGACCTGGAATATCCATCTGCCCATCATTAATAATATTTTCAAATATTTCCCATTTTTTTCCCTAGCCCCAGAGGTCTCATTTACATTTTGGGATAAATTTCCACTTTAGTCAAGGCCAATACTGCAGGATTTAGGTCACTATTAAGTGGTATGGAAGTCTTTTTGGTGGAGGAGATACTTAGCCCTAAATCTGTCAGCGGTAAATCCTATCCCCTAATCCTAATTCCTAATCCTAATCTGACAGCAGTAACAATGGTAAGGACACATGCCTACCCTAAAAGACTGACTTCTTTGATTATGTATGTGAAACCATGACAAAAACCGTCCTTCATATTGCCTCAAAGCTGAATTCTTCACGAAGATTCCATTCAACTGAATCGTTCAAAATGCATAGACTCTCACATTCAGCATAAAGACCCCATAATTAACAGCCTTATTTTTAAACTGTTGAATTTTAGAGTAAGGTGTATGAACCAAAATTCAAGTGGTCATTTAACCAACAAGAAAGGTGGGATTGTGCAAAAGGGGAATCACTCTGCCTGATAGCCAAGGAATGCCTATGTATCTTTTTGATAACTTCTACCTTCATAATATAATAACTTCATTTAAAAAAAACTGAAAAGATATCTTCAGTTCAAGTCTGATGATTTATTGTGGTTTTATCTGTAAGTCCTAATTTGAACCCCAGCAAAACAATGCTCTTTCTAGGACCTAGGCCAGGGGTAGGCAACCCAAAACACTCAAAGAGCCACTTGGACCCGTTTCCCACCAAAAACAAAACACTGGGAGCCGCAAAACCCTTTTGATATCTAAAATGAAGATAACACTGCATATATCCTTTCTAACCTTTATTATAGGTGTGTGTATGTGTATGTGTGTGTGTGTATGTGTATATGTATATACACACACACACACACACACACACACACACACACACACACATACACATTAAAAATAAAAGTAAAAATATGACTCTTGGGAATATCCATACTATTAAAACAATGATCACCAAGAGAATGCTTTAAGAGAATAAAATTACATACACACACAGGTAAAAAAAGGTATATGCAGTGTTATCTTCATTTTAGATGTCAAAAGGGTCTCTCTCTCCCTCCCTCTCTATCTGCCCTTGATCTGCCACTCCTCTTCCCCCACTCTCTCTCTCTCTTTCTCTCTCTCTCTTTCTCCCCCCCCCCTCCTATCTGCTGCTCACCTGGCAAGCTTCAAGCTGTTGTCCAACAACCTCCGGGGTAGGCAACCTCGTCTCTTTTATGACTCATGGACTTCAACTCCCAGAATTCCTGAGTCAGCCTAGCTGGGCTAGCTAGCTCTCTCCTGCCCTTCCTGCGTCCTGCTTCCTTCAGAGACGCAGCAAAGGGAGGAGCTCCGCCCAGAAAGCTTTTCAGCTCCTCGGAGAACACTGTGAGTGCACTCTCTTTTACACACACACAAAACACACACACACACACACACAAAACACACACACCCAGACACACACACACACACACACACACACACACAGAAGCAGGGAAGTGCAATTGCCTCTCTCTGTCTCTGTCTCTCTCTGCAAAGGCAGAGGAGGCTGGGAGCCACAGGGGAAGGCTCAAATAGCCGCATGCGGCTCCGGAGCCGCAGGTTGCCGACCTGTGACCTAGGCAATCTCAGAAGACCTGAATTTGAACATTTTGCTGTTTTACATTTCTTTACTGCTAGGCATAATAAAGCATGTGGCTATATAATGAAAAATTGTTGTTAACAGCTGATTGTCCTGATATTGTATAATTATGTAATTACTACTGTAATTTCAGGAAAGGTATTCCCAGGAGAGGTGATTCTGAATATCCCATATAATGAGTCTATGGGAGATACAACAAGCCAAAATTATGAAAAATTATATGATAATCTCACTAATTTTGTAAGTTTACTTTTTCTGACATCTTTTCTACTTCCCCAAAATATATGCAGATATGTATGTCTTGTACCCATTCATAACTACGCTGAATAATATAGAAAAAAAGTTCTGATTATGGTTTTTTTCATACTCATTACATCCAAAATTTCTGTTTTAATATCTTCATTTATTAAAACTTGGGTTTCCTATGATATTAAATATTTGATATTGATCCCAAATCACCCAAGTTTATTTAATGAATACAAAAATTTTAATTTAAAATTTAAACTAATATAAATATTGTTATAATATAAAACTAATACATGGATTACACATGTAAATTAATAATATACAGGTATTTCTGTAAAATATAATCAGTTTTCAAATATTTTTGTATGTGGTTAAAATAAGCAGTTATTAGCGCTAGGAATGGATTAATCTAAGTGGACAAGAAAACCTCTAGAAATATTACTATCACTTCATGCAGGACATCAGTGAATCTAGACCTGTTATAAAAATTATCCAGAAGAGGGCCAATTCAGAGCTTTGTGAAAATATCTCTATCTATCTATCATCTTCATCATAATCTATCTATACACATATTTCAATTGGAAACATCATTTTAAAAGTGACTATTCTTTTAGATCAATTGTTGTAATATCTTGGAATAAACCATCTTTGCCCAGACTAAATTCTGGTGTTATGCAGACAACCTGTTATTAGCTTCCTTTGGAAGAATTGCAAAGGCAATCCAAAGGATCAAGGTGTCTTAAGTGAGTTTAATCTTATGTCCAAATACTATACTGTGGTCATTCTTAAATATGTGTAGTGGAAGTTGCATAAGTCATAGTTTGAAGGTAGGTCCACTAATTGTAGTTAAACTATTCCCAGGTTTGGTTAGATTTGGATAATATGAGAAGCTATGGCTGAACTAAAACAGAACTCCTCTCTAGAGTGTGTTTTCCTCTTAATATTAAACCATGTTTTAGTATAATAGGTTAATCCAAACTCATACCCTTGTTTATTCACATTTCCTTTGTTAAGTATTGTAGTTCATCTTTGTATCTGTTGAGGTGTTCCCTTTCCTAGTCATTTTTTTAAAATTCCTGATTCTCTATTTGACTATTACTTGCTTTGTATTAAACTTTTACAGTTTGACCAGACATTTGAAAATACGTTTCGGGAAATAACCATTCTTAATGTGAAGTAAGTGTGGTGGCTTTGTTGATACGTATATTGTATACATTTTAATATGCATTCTGTGTATATATGAATGGAAAACAGCTGAGTTCTTAAGTACAAGGAGTCCTCACTTACCCATTGCAATTAGGACTGGCATCTCCATCAGTAAGTGATGCAGTTGTAAAGTGAAACATCACATGACTGTGCCTTATGATGGCAGTTTGTGAGTTCCAGTTGCTGTTAAGCAAATCACCATGGTCATGAAGCGCATTATCACGTGACTGTGACTTACGACTTTTTGCCAGTTTCCCCATTGATTTTGCTGTTCAGAAGCTGGCTGGAAAGGTTGCAAATGGTGATCATGTGACTATAGGATGCTGCTTCCATTGGAACTGGGTTGCCAAGTGCCCGAATTGTGATCACATTACCACAGGGATATTGTGACAGGCTCAACTTTGAGGGCTGGTCATAAGTCTCATTATTCAGAGCTACGAAAATTTTGAATGGTTACTGAACAAGTAGTTGGTAAGCGAGGACTACCTGTAAAAGATTTTTGTGAATAGTTGCAGCCTGCCTTTTTTCAGGATATTCCTTTTGATCTTCTTTTCTGCTTCCAAAGCTCCAGTCAGTTTGTATTCTGAGTTAGCAAGCCAAGTCCTTGGTTGGGAAGACTCCCTTCAGTTATATTTTATAAATATGTTTTTTTTATGTGTAACTTTTACCTTGGCTATTTGCATAAAGGATCTTTTTTTTCCCCACTCAGAATACTCAAGCTTGGGTATTCCATCACGGGAGGCTTTTAAGAAGAGACTGTGGCCAGCCACTTGTTTGAAATGGTATAGGGCCGTGGTGGCGAACCTATGGCACGCGTGCCACAGGTGGCACGCAGAGCCCTCTCTGTGGGCAGGCGCACCATTGCCCCAGTTCTAGGCCTTCAGCTGAGTTTTATAAAACCTTTTCGCTTTAGGCCTCTGCCGCCATGTGCAAAAAAAAAAAAGGTTCAATCAGTCAATTTCAACTTCTCGCAGGAAAAAAAGATCTTGCAAAGTTGGAATTGATTGATTGAACTTTTTAGTCCCACCCAGTCTGCCGTTACCACCACAGCCACATTCACCCAATTGGCCACACCCACCCAATTGGCCACACCCACCCAACGGGTCATGCCCACCCAGCACCCGATGATACATAAGTGGGTTTTCGGTTGCAGTTTGGGCACTCGGTCTCTAAAAGGTTCGCCATCACTGGTATAGGGTCTCCTGCTTGAGCAGGGGGTTGGACTAGAAGACCTCCAAGGTCCCTCCCAACTCTATTATTCTGTATCTCTTCCATCTCCATTTCCCATTGCAACTCAGCTCTCTCTGGTTGGGGACCAAAATTTGCAGATTTTCTTTACAACAGCTGCTTTGACTTTAACTTAAAAGAATGTCCTTACAATACTGGAATTAATAGCCACTTTTCTTAACATACTTGGGTCTGTGTGAAATTACTCTTTCAGATTAAGGGTGAATAAGGTAGAAGACAAAAATAAGCCTACAGTTACAGATACGGCTACAGTTATGCTCATCACTGGATTTGACGAAGAGGCAAATATGACAGCTCAGGACTTGGAAACGCGTGTGAAGAATTCTACTTTTTTAAATGACTCCATTATCTCATCATTTACAAGTATGTATATATTAAAAAGGTTGATTCAATCCAGTCCATTCAAAACTCTTGTAGATTCCCCAAAGTGCTGACTCTGGATACCCTCCAAATGTGTGGGATTACACATGTCACTCTCTCCAGCTGACATGTCAACCAACCGGTCACAAACATTTTTACATTGAACAGAGTTGTTCTGATCAATCAGACTATCTCTTGGTTCTTATGCCACAAAGAAGGAGGAGTCACGCTATTCTCCAAAGCACCTGAAGGCAGGACAAGAGGCAACAGATATAAACTAATCAAAGAGAGAAGCAACCTAGAACTAAGGAAAAATTTCCTGGCAGACTGGCTTGCCTTCAGAAGTTCTGGCTGAGCAGAGGGTTGGATTAGAGGACCTCTCTTCCCTTCCAGTTTTGTTACTCTGTTATTCTGTTATATATTGGATTAGGCCATGATTTCACATAATCACAATCAACTGACTGCACCTAGACATCTTCAGATGACTTAGCACAATATGTGAACGCAGCTTGGGGTCATCTGAGTTCAGTTCTTTTATCTACTAGGTCAGGCACTGAAAAGCAGTGTCAGCTGATACAATTCCTTTACTCTTTTTCCAAATTCAAAGGTTGCTTCACACATCAAGCTAAGCCACAACATGACTTATATATTTTTGGTTTAGCATGAAGTGAAAATTCAGATCATTGTGGTCTGTAAATTATGGCTTGGGGCCATAAATTGCACCTTGCTGCATTTCCTGGTTCTTGCTTAAAACAGGTAGCAGATGGTTGAAGAGTTGCTCAAGTGCAGGCAGGCAAGAATTAGAGGTCAATTGGTGTGGTTATTAATGAAATAGAGATCAGTCCCCAGATCAAGTAGATAAGATAGCTAGAATGGAGGCAATAAACTTCCACAGCTACAGCTTTGGAAGAATTACAGTTAAAAGTCCTGGAAATATATGACTTAAATTCTGTATTTGTGAGGCTTTTAAGTATTTAAATGAAATAAATACCATTGTATAGCTTAATTATTTATAACTGGCTGTGCAGCATAGTGTGTCTAAGAATCGCAACTCAGTAGGAATTTATATATTTCAGTATTTAACTACAGTATCAGATTGACATGTTAATTTCAAAAGATATAGAAAAAAACACATTCCTTTCAGAAAACTCCCCTTGTGTCATTAGAAACTGAACGCAAATTCAGTTACAATCCAGTCACACTCACTGCACCAATTTCCTAGGATTTTATTATTTTTCCAGCCCTACCTGGAGAGGAGCCTTCTCCATTCAAAATCATGAGCTCCACTGCTGAGTAAAAGTCCTTGAATGTCTATTATTGAGAGAGGCTTCACTTCCTGTCCAGCTACTTATCCATGCTGTTCTACTTTTTATTAGGTAAAACAGGGTGTGACATTGGCATCTGTGATAACGACACAACAGACTGCAGGGATGTCGAGGGTGGTATTCCAAAATGTGAATGTAAAAAAGACCTGGCTAAGATGAACCTAGAAGACAAAGCTTGTCGACGTAAGACTTTGAAAGCAATTTTCTGAGATAAATCTGTGGTTAGCTATCTAACACAAACCAGAGTTACTTGTTAAATATGGTCTTGGGGAACCACAACCTTTTGTGGTCAGGGGGCATATCTAATTTTTTTTTAAAAGTGAGATGGTACCAATAACTAAATCACTCTATGTGTGCATGTGCACATACATATGCGCACATGTGTTGCATGCTAAAAACATTGTTTTAGAGTAGCCAGTCATAAAATACTGAGAACCACAAATGGAATCCTAAATTTTGGAGTTTCCCTCTGTAACTCTGGGAAATTGGGAGTATATTACAGTACATATAGTTCCAGTGGTGGGATTCAGCTGGTTTCGTACCAGTTTGGCAGAACCAGTAGCTAATTTTTTGTTGCCCAGGTCCAGAACAGACTTCCGGAAGCGGCATCCACACAGAGAACTGGTGGTTCACATATTTGAATCCCACCACTGTATAGTTCCCATAGAGCCCAGTACTTCTTATTTCTGAGAAATGATTTTTGAGAAAGTGCATTTAAAATTAGGTTCTAAGAAATACATCCAATAGAAGAAAGTTCTAATTTAGGAAATGATTTGAAGTAAGAATATCATCAGTGAATCTCCATTCAGTTCACTTGTGGAATGTATCCTCCAATGGTGCATACATACATCAACCCAGCAGTAGATTCTGGCCAGATTTTTTTTAAAGGCTAAAAATTAAGGCCTCTTTTATATTTATACTGCTGGAGGTGAAAAAAGAAGTAACTGGGCAGGGAAAAGGGAGAAGAAAGAAGCTTGTTTAGGAATCGTAGAAAAGGTTCAGTTCCGCCAAGACTCAAGCCAAGAGCAGCCTTCAGAGAATCCATGTTCCAACTTCTTTGTAATAATGAACATAAACTGCACTCTTAATTATTCACACGTAATTTATCTGTGAAAAAAATCCTCCTCTTCCTGTGGGGTAAGTGTGGCACATATATTTTTTTTAAAAAGGCTTAGCCGGAAATGCCTCAACCAGGCAGTGAAATTATACCAAAGTAGTAGTGGGCCTTCAGAGAAAGGGAATTGGGTGAAGAGGACACCGCAGTTGAGAAAGTTCTCTCCTTTGTAGCTCTCTTCCTAACTTCACTTGATGGGAGACCTGGACATGTATGGTTTATTGAATAAATTAGAATTAGAATTAATTGGTTCATGCAATCCACTCACCTTAAAATAACAGGGCTTTTTTTTTAACATTTCGCCTGATTTTTAAGGCATCTGGAGCCAGGAGCTTCCACAGGGGAGATAAATAATGACACTAGTGTGATTTTTTTTATGCAAATGCCATGAATTAAGTGCCTTCTGTAAGAGCAGCAATTGTGTGATGACTACCATGTGTGTGTGATCACTTGACTGTGAATTGCTACTAATGCCAGGGTGGTGTTCCAGCTGTTGCTGACTTTCAGTTCCTAGCAGCCCTAGAAATACATAGATCATGGTTACAGATGCTGAGAATTGTGATTTAGTGACATCTGCTGTGCCAGGGGTTGACTAACCATGGCCTGTATCAGGGGTCTTCAAACTTGGCCCTTTTCTGGTTTGTGGACTTCAACTCCCAGAACTCCTCAGCCAGCATGCTCATCAGCCTATATTATTTCCCATAGTCATAAGACCATTACCAGCCGTTATAAAAATAGCAGAACTTTTGCTATTGTTTCTTCCTTTAAAAATATATGTGAATAGAATAGCAATGGACGTAAGTTATTGATTATGTTCCTAAGCTACCCATCTCCTCTACAAAAAGAAAAAGCAGTAGTAGACATCCTATGACTGAGTGACTCAGTCAGCAGGTTCCTAGTGAAAATAGCAGTGGATGAACCAGATTCTTACTGTATTTGCAGCTTTCCTTTCAACTGCTCTTCCAAAGTCAGTCCTTATTTAAAGGAACCACTGGATTGTCATTGCATTGCTCTGGTTCTTATATAATCTGCTATCTTCAGTCAATGCTTTGCTAATCCTAAATGATTATCTGTTCCTCCCCTCCCGATTGCAGTTTGTGACAGCAGCTGTTCTGCAGCAAACAATAGATTCTGTCTCATGGAAGCAGATCTTGTCCCTCAATGCCGATGTCTGCAGAATTTCGAGGAAAAGGATGGAGAATGTGAAGCGTAAGTATGTGGTTAAGAAAGCCATCCCCCTTCCCATGTATCTTCATTCCACGAGAATGGGTGGAGCTGCCCATGTTGTTTTGTTGGAAACAAAATGGAAGCAGTTGTCACTGCTCTTTTTCCCTGACTTCCTTCGTAGCCCTGGGATTCCCCTTTGGTTTCCCAGTGAGAAAGGATTTAGGCCTGTTGGTTTTCCAGGAACCACCAAGCTTGGCTATCTGCTGCCCCTTGTGCAGATCAGTGTTTGATTGCTCTGCCAAAATTACATGATGGCATGGGGTGATTCATGATTTGCTAGCCTTCCCTAAGCAGACATTAGTGGCAGAGAGACATGTGGGAGCCAGTTTAGGCTGTCATGATAGTAACATATGCATTATAGTCAGTGATGGGATTCATCCGGTTTGCATCGGTTTGGCAGAACCGGTAACTAAATTTTGTTGAGTTCAGAGAACCGGCTGAATGCACATCTCTTCCAGAAGTCCGTTCTAGGCCTGGGAGGCCTCCTCCAGGCCTCCCAGGCCTAGAACGGCCCGCTGGAAGTGCGGGGATGCCACTTCCGGAAGTCTGTTTTAGGCCTCAGAGGCCCAGGCCTGCATCCACACAGAGAACCAGTTGTTCAGGGATTTGAATCCCACCACTGATTATAGGAAAAGAAAAAAAGCTCATCTAAGATATAGAAAAAACATTGTGTTCCTAAGTTACTAAGACATGTTCTCCCACTATAAATAAAACAATCCTTGTACAGGTGGTCCTCGACCTATGACCATAATGGAGTCTGGAATTTTCACTATATGCCTTGATGGTCATAAGTTAAAGCACCCACATGACTGATACAATTTTACAACACTTTTTGTGACAGTTGTTAAATGAAAGTGGGGGTTGTAAAAGCAATGGTGTGACCACCAGGCTGGACAGCCATGGAATTTGAGCCATAAGTATCTATTTGAGGTCTGTTATAAGTTCGAAAGGTCACAAAGTAACTGGTTGTAAGCTGAGGACTACCAGCATGGGAGAATTCTTGGTACATCATTAAATATTTTATTCAATTAGTCACAATGATACTTTGTGTTTGCTTTTAGGTGTAGCATTGGGTTTTCTGGAGAAGACTGCCAAGACAGTATGTATTACAAGAAAAATATTTCATTAAACACTGGAAATTATTTCTAGGAAAAAAATTATGGTAGACCATCTATAATATAAGTTCTATCAGAAAAGCCCAGAAATGCAACTTCTATTCTTTGAGAAAACATAAGGAGAAATATCACATACAGACATAGATATAGAACCATTTCTGGACCAGATCCATGCTGAAAACTGCCATTTTTAAGGTTATATTTTTCGTAGGCATCATTTGCACTGGATGTGAGTGTAGGGGAGTGCATTTGTATGTGCACTGTGATGCCACATTCATGTACGAAAGAGGCAGACCTTGCAGCACAATATCACTGCTTTTATCTCTCTAATGAAAACAGCAAGCTTCTATGGACACCCCTGTGTTGCACTGGTACCATTTCAATTTCCTTTGTAGAACATCTCTGTTGCAATATCTCATAAATATATATTATGAAGAACTTCAAAAAGGTATTCATTATTTATGGTTTGCTCAGGACCAAATAAATTCTTTGAGCATACCCACATGCCACAGCTTAAATTTATCAATGCTGAAGCAAAGGACTCGGATATTCTAAGCTTTCCAAAATGAATCCTGCTACCAAAGTGTAATAATGGATTTTGTGTTTCCTAAGATGATCATAACAAAGTGGTGTTCTGTGGAAACTCTTTCCACAAAACAAAAAGTTTTTTTTTTCCCCCAGGAGAAAGATTTGTTCATTTCTTGGTTTAGCTTTGTTTTAAAATTTCTTGTTTCCCTCATAGAGTGGGAATAGGAAGTGTTATTTTGAAATAAACAGTATATTTCACTTCAGGATAGTTTTTTATGTTATAAAAGTTATAGAATGCAACCAATTTCATGTGATTGGGTTCAGTGGCAAAATTTGGCACTCACATTTTACACTCAATTTAACACAAGGCTCTTCTTTTTCCCATTTTTGTTGGCACTTCACATTTGGTTCACTTTCAATTAAATTTCCCACATCTCTCTCTCTCTCTCTCTCTCTCTCTCTCTCTCTCTCTCTCTCTCTCTCTCTCTCTATCTATCTCTATCTCTCTTTCTCTCTATCATCTTCCTTCCTTCCTTCCTTCCTTCCTTCCTTCCTTCCTTCCTTCCTTCCTTCCTTCCTTCCTTCCTTCCTTCCTTCCTTCCTTCCTTCCTTCCTTTCTTTCTTTCTTTCTTTCTTTCTTTCTTTCTTTCTTTCCAAACAGCCTCTGATTCCCAAGAGGCTAGTGCTTGCCAATGAAATAAAGAAATCCTTCTATGAAAATACCTAGGTGATTATGCTTATCAGCCGATAAATATTTGAATTTCCTTCTCCTTCCATACATCTTCAAATTGGGATATTTTTTTTTACTTATATTGTATCTCAGAGATGGTTTGTTTCTTTTTTAAAAAAACAATATTTTATTAATATTATGTTATGTCCAATTTTTTTTGCCCATGATATCATTGTTTCTTTAACTTGTTCCTCTTCCATCTTTAAACTTAACATATACTTATACAATTTCTTAATCAATTTTTCATCTGATGCCAATAGTAACTGGTCAAATTCTGTCTGTTCTTTATAAAATTCAGATGGTTTAGCATCTTTTTCATATCTCGTTCAAATTTACAGGTGCAGCCACCATGATAGATCAATACCCTGTTCTTCCAGTTCTTGTCTAGATTTTAGTTTCCCTTCAATATTCAAAATGTCTTTATAAGTTACAATTTTCTCATAGTTAATTAGGTTTGGGTGAACAAATGCTTCCAAGTATTTTCATATAATTTTTCGCTTTTACATTTTCCCATTCTAGAAGAAGTGTGTTTCTTATATAGTGGTTTTGTAGGTTGTAGGTCATGCCCTTCTAGGTATAGTAATCTTTTGTGTCTAAGGGTTATCCATTCTTTTAACCATGTTAATACAGATACTTGATAGTATAAAGCCCGATCTGGGAGCCCAAATCCTCCATTTTCTTTCACTTTTTGTAGCATTTTCAATCTAATTCTGTCTTTTTTTTTCCTTGCCAAATAAATTTCAAGATCAATGTATTTAGATCATCAAAGATTTTTTTCGCAGTTTTATAGGTATTGTTTAAAATAAAAAGAGTAATTTTGGTAAAATATTCATCTTCACCGTTGCTATTCTCCCTAACATTGAAAGTTGTAGATTTTTCCATTTTCCTAAGTTCAGTTTTATTTGTTTTAATAATTTTACATAGTTGTCTTTTTTTTTTATTGTTGCACATTTTGTTGTTAAATGTATCCCCAAGCAGTGGTGGGATTCAAATATGTGAACAATCGGTTCTCTGTGTGGATGCTGCTTCCGGAAGTCCATTCTGGGCCTGGGCAACAAAACATTAGCTACCGGTTCTGCTGAACTGGTGCGAACTGGCTGAATCCCACCACTGTCCCTAAGTATTTAACTTTCTTAACTATTTGAAGATCTGTTTTTTCTGATAGTTGATTTTTTTGTTTATCTATAACATTTTTGGTCATTACTTTGGTCTTTTCTCTATTTATTTTCAGTCTTGCCACTCCTCCAAATTCTTCTATCTTTTTCAGAAGCTAATATATAATATAATATAAATATAATATAATATAAATATAAAAACCAAGTCATCCACGAATGCTTATAGTTTGTATTTTTCATCTCTTATCTCCATTCCTTTAATATCTGAATCTTGCCTAATATTTCTATTCAATACTTCCAGTGTTAATATAAATAATAATGGGAATAATGGACATCCTTGTCTTGTGCCTTTTTTAATATTAAAAATTTCTGTAAAATCTTCATTTACGATTACTTTAGCTGTTTGTCCATGATAAATTGTTTTCATTATATTTATAAAGTTTTCTCCAAAGCCCATTTCATTTAATTGTTGAATAATAAATTGCCAATTTACATGATCAAAAGCCTTCTGTGCATCTAGGAATATTAGCGCCATCTGCTTCTCTTAGTGCATTTCATAGTATTCCAAAGTATCTAAAATCATTCTTAAATATTTTTTTATTTGTCTCTTAGGTAAAAATCCATTTTGGTCTGTATGTGTAAATTCAATCAAAAATCTCTTCAATCTTTCTGCTATTATTGAAGCAAAAATTTTATAGACCACATTTAATAGAGATATTGGTCTATAATTCTTTATCTGTGTCAAGTCTGAATCTTCTTTGAGTATTAAAGTAATGTTGGTTTCTATCCAAGTATTTGATATTTTAGCCTCTATGAGTACCTAATTACACAGTTCTTTCATTACTGGGCTTAATGTATCTTGTAGGCATTTATAAAACTCTGTGGGTAGCCCATCTGGGCCCGGAGTCTTGTCATTTTTTTTGCCTTTTTATGGCCTCCGTTACGTCCATCACTGATATTTTTTCATTTAGCATGTTTTGGATGTTCTCTAAAATTTTTGGTAAGTCAGCTTTTTTTATGTATTGCTTTATTTTTTTTCTTGAGAAGTTTCTTCTGTGTTGTAAAGTATCCCATAAAAATCTTTGATTAATTTTTTAATTATGTCATTTTGGAACTGTAAATCGCCTTTTGAATCTTGCAATTTGTTTATCAATTTTTTTCTCTCTTTTTTCAGTTTGCATGCTAACCACCTACCTGGTTTATTAGCATTTTCAAAAAAAGTTTTGTTTTGCCCTTTTAATTTGTTGGCCCATTTTTTCAGCCTCTACTAAATTTAATTTATGTTTTATTATTTCCATTTGTTTTTTAAGAGTTTTCTTTTGTGGATCTCTTTATAGTTCTGATTCCAATTTTGTAAATTCTTCCTTTAACTTGGTTTGTTGTTGCTTTTTTTCTTTATACTTTTTCGCCATGTAAGTTATAGCCAGATCTCTAAAATATGCTTTGGCTGTATCCCACACATTTTGAAGCGATGTCTCTTCTTTTTTGTTTATTTTAAAGAAAAAATCCATTTCCTTTATTGCTATTTGTATACATTCTTTCTCTTTCAATAAAGATTGATTCAGAGACCATCTTAGTTTTTTCTTAGCTCCTCTCCAAATCATCTTTATCGGATTATGTTCTGCCCATATATTGATTTCTATCTCGATCTCTTGTATAATCGTGCTTTTAATTCAGGGGATATCCATATCATTTCAATTCTAGACCATGATTTGTGCCTGTTTGAGTAGAATGCATATTGAGATTTTTTTGGGTTCTTTTCCCTCCATATATCCTGTATACAGATTTCTTCTGCCATTTTAAAGAAAGTCTTAGGTAGTGTATGCCTTCCTTTTTTCCCTATTTTGCTACTTCTGTAGTCCAGCTTCCCATCTACAATTAAAGTCTCCCATTAAGCAAATATTTTGATATTCCAATTTGATTATTTTCTTATGTAATTTTTGATAAAATTCTTCTTTTGTTGTTAGGTGCAAATATTGCTACCTTCAGTATCTGTTTTTGATTTATCATTATTTCTTCCCTCTTCATCTTCATAGATTTGTTTGGGGTTCATTTTCTCTTTAATATATAAAGCTATTCCTCTTTTCTTTTGTTGTGCTAGTGTGATGGTTTCTTTCTTCATTTCCTTCCCATTCACTTTTTCCAAAGGACAAGAGGAATCAAAAATTCCTAGGGACAAGGCACAATCAAATCAATTTGGATTAAATCAAGTACTCAATCACCTTTAATTGTCTCCCTTCAAGTTATGATTCGATAAACACAGGTGAATTCCTGTTACTTTCTCCCTAACTAATCCAAAGTAAGAAACCCTTCTATACAGAGACAATATAGAATGGAAAACTAGGATAATTTAAAAAAAAAAGAATAGGGGAGAGATTAGAAAAAACAAGACAAGAAATAATAGCACAAGAGGCAATAGGAGAAGTTACTTCTATTCTTTATTTTTAACAATGCAAAATAAGGGTATGTAGTGGATCACAGACACATTGCTGTCCTCACTGTTCTTAAAAATCTGTTATTTTCATTTTATAATTCTTTTTATCTTGACAATAAAGGAGGATTGCATATAGGCATGATAATTTTGAAATCTCTTCTCAGATTACATGGCCATCATCATAGGAGTATCTACCACAGGTGGTGTTCTTCTGGTGGCTTTAATTGGCGTAACCACTTACTTCCTAGTCAGGTACAAATGGCTTTTAGGGGATGTATGAACATATGCTGTTAAAAAGTTTGTGACATGAGGTGACTTTGAATTCAGTAGTGTAATTTGGAGATCAAAGCCACTAAGTGATGCATGAACGGACCAGCTGATTAAATGTGTATGCCAATCTTGTCACAGATTCAGATTCAGTGTGAATACAGGTAGTCCTTAGCTTACAATCATTCATTGACTGACCCTTCAAAGTTACAACGGCATTGAAAAAAGTGAATTGTGACAGTTTTTCATCCTTACGACTGTTGTAGCACCCTATGGTCATGTGATCAAAATTTGGCCGCTTGGCAGCTGGCATTTCTTTATGACAGTTGCACTGTCCCGGGGTCATGTGATCACCATTTGTAACTTTCCCAGCCAGCTTCCAACAAGCAAAGTCGATGGGGAAAGCCAGATTGGTTTAATGACCATGTGATTCACTTAACAACCACAGTGATTCATTTAAAAACTGTGGCAAAAAGATAAAATGGGGCAAAATTCATTTAACAACTTCGTCACTTAGCGATGAGTTGATTGTAAGTCAAGGACTACCTGTATCTTACTCTTATTACCTATCTTATGCATGGAAGACACCCAAGTCCTTTCAAACAAATTAAGCAAGCGTCAATATTAAGACCAAAATAACCCTAATTCACCAATTTTAAGCCTTATTGTGAAAAGGAACAAAATATTGTGACACTCAAAATAACCACTTTAGTATACTTGCTTTAGTGCAGGGGTAGGCAACCCAAAACACTCAAAGAGCCACTTGGACCCGTTTCCCACCAAAAACAAAACACTGGGAGCCGCAAAACCCTTTTGATATCTAAAATGAAGATAACACTGCATATATCCTTTCTAACCTTTATTATAGGTGTGTGTATGTGTGTGTGTGTATGTGTATATGTATATACACACACACACACACACACACACACACACACACACACACATATACACATTAAAAATAAAAGTAAAAATATGACTCTTGGGAATATCCATACTATTAAAACAATGATCACCAAGAGAATGCTTTAAGAGAATAAAATTACATACACACACAGGTAAAAAAAGGATATATGCAGTGTTATCTTCATTTTAGATGTCAAAGGGTCTCTCCCTCCCTCTCTATCTGCCCTTGGTCTGCCACTCCTCTTCCCCCACTCTCTCTCTCCCTCTCTCTCTCTTTCTCTCTCTCTCTTTCTCCCCCCCCCTCCTATCTGCTGCTCACCTGGCAAGCTTCAAGCTGTTGTCCAACAACCTCCGGGTAGGCAACCTCGTCTCTTTTATGACTCATGGACTTCAACTCCCAGAATTCCTGAGTCAGCCTAGCTGGGCTAGCTAGCTCTCTCCTGCCCTTCCTGCTTCCTGCTTCCTGCAGAGACGCAGCAAAGGGAGGAGCTCCGCCCAGAAAGCTTTTCAGCTCCTCGGAGAACACTGTGAGTGCACTCTCTTTTACACACACACACACACACACACACACACACACACACACACACACACACACACAAAACACACACACAGAAGCAGGGAAGTGCAATTGCCTCTCTCTGTCTCTGTCTCTCTCTGCAAAGGCAGAGGAGGCTGGGAGCCACAGGGGAAGGCTCAAAGAGCCGCATGCGGCTCCGGAGCCGCAGGTTGCCGACCTGTGCTTTAGTGGTACACTTGCGGGGACAAAAATGGGAGAGGTGTTCATTTTTCACCTGGATTAAAGCATAACACAAAAAAACTATCACATAAAATAGGGGTCTCCAAACTTGGCAACTTTAAGACTTGGGGCACTTCAACTCCCAGAATTCCTCAGCCAACCATGAATTCTGGAACTTGAAGTCCACAAGTCTTAAAGTTGCCAAGTTTGGAGATCCCTGACATAAAATATGGAAAACATGCAAAATTAGTTACAGCTAACATTTTAGAAAGGCCTACATTTGCCCTGAGTTCCACTAGTTGTCCAGTTATTCTTTCCAACGTTCCCAGTGTACAGTAGAGTAACCATGTAATAAGAAAAGATGTTATTCTATGAAACAGTTACTGATGAAAAATAAAAAAATCAGATTAGAAACAGTCACTTCTTCCTTGGAAAGGAGGAAAACAGAGGGCTGTCCCAGGGATCTTAAACTAATCCTTCTCAATTGTTCATAAAAAGTGTTAGAGCTGAGCAGTAAAGTTGCCAGATTTGCCAACATCATTCAGTTGCAAGAGTGGCTCAAGACCAAAAAGGAGACCAAAGAGAAAGAAAAGGATTGCCCAAGTTGAGAGAAAGAGAACGATCATTAAAATAGCAAGTTAAATTCAACAGCATACACTGAAGTACATTGGCACAAACATTGGTAACCACAGATACACTAAAACAGTCTGAGCCTCAGGTGATTGAACAGAAACTAGACTGTGGCTGGCAAGGCATTGTAAGATTGTGCAGAGTGGTTCTGAAAAAGTGAATTTCAAATTGAGGATCATTATTATTTAGATTAAAAAGAGCTTAAGTATGATTTCATTTTATCATAGAAGTTTAGCTGCCTTGTGTGCTTCCAGGCTGATATAAAGAGAAATAATGAAATAATCAATGATACCATTGTAACAATTAGCATCTTGATGAACTTAGGAATCTGGTGACTTCGACTCAAAAAGAATATTGTAGAGTTGGAAAAAGAGTTTAAAAAGGCAATCAAAAGTGATTACTTGGGGTTTATGAAATTTCCTTTACTAAAATGATTGAAATCCTAAATTCTCCTTTACAGGGCACATACAGTATTTGTAAATGTTCGGCTTACAAATCAAATTGATATTAATGGTTAGCTTCCTCACCTCTGTCACAAAACTTTGCAAAACTCCCTGGGGGCTTTGTTAAGAAGAAAAAGTCAAGATAAACACAAAACACAAAAGTGAAGATACATTTTGAATGTCATTGTGATCACCCTTTCTTTTTGTATAAAAGGAAACAGGACTCTAAAGCCGGACATCAACAATTGATAAGCAATGAGTATTCAACCTTGGGCAATCCTTCTGGGGGGATTGATTCTGGGGAAGATTCTGGGAGAATCTTCCCCAGAATCAAAACTACGAATGCTGCTGACAACCCAACCGATTTCTACGAAGGAGGAGCTGCAAATAGAGGCTACGTTCCCGAGAGAGAATATAGGAATGATAACGTGAGTGGCTGTTTCAGGTGAAGTTTAAACATTAATGAGGCTGATATTAAATATATATAAAAGGAATGTATAGGTTGCTTCAATTTTTCTCCTCAGGCAGGCAGAATTTCCAAAAAGTCTGGTTCCTATCTTTGCAGTGATATGAAAATCTGCATGGTGAGATAAAGCAGATTCCAACCTTTCCAATAAATGGAAAATATGTTTATTTTAGAAGATAGCCCCACTGGCCATTCTCCCTGAACGTTCTGTTTGTCACACATTCCTGTGTCCTTGATCTGTTGACCTACCACAGAAAGGGCAATCCCCAGGCTCTGAGTAGTAACTAAAGACCTTCATTTGGATTCATTTTGTAAAAGCATCATGCCTTGAACAGGGACAACATCTGTATCTGGAAATCAACATCCTAGATGCTAAATGTCTCGTTTCCTTACAGTAACCAAATTCTCTGGTTGGTTTATTGTATTCCAGAGATGCATAGCCTGAGACCTTCGGCCTGAAGGAGGACTTAGTTCCCCTCCCCCCACAAATCTACAAATAGGAATTGTAATTAAATAATGGGGGACTATTTATTCTATTGTTAGAATCACTGAATGTATAACTTTGGGGAAAAAACCATGGAGAATTCTGGGGAATTCTGGGAGTTGAAGTCCACGCATGTTAAAATCATCATGGTTGGGAAGCACTGCTCTAGTCCAAACCCCTTGCCTATCCCAGGAATCCATCACCATCATAGTAATTTTATTTTAAATTAACTATTGTTGCATTCTTTTAACTTTGATCCAACTAAATTAAACCAAAATGTAAATTTTTGTTCAGGGTTACTTACATGTTCAATGAGGGTCCTAGCATGACACTCAAAGTCTAAAGTCAGCTCTGATTTTCCTTTTTCTCTGCAAAAATAGGTAGCGCTATTAGAATACTTCCTGATGTAGCTAGTCTTAATTGAGAATATTTATCCCTGAAATTTAAAGAACCAGCAACACTGGATGATGAAATTCGGATAACAAGGTAGTTTTTAAATAACACTGCAGAATAACTTGGCTTAATTCTGTCTAAAATTTCTTTGTCTGGAAGAGTCTGATAGTTCAGTTTAGTGAATTATTTTCAAAGGACTGAAATATATAATTGGGGGGGTCAAGAATTTGTAGTAATCATAATAATTAAAAAGCTCAGCACATGTTCTCTTGGCTAAATTATATTTCCCTTGTTTTATTGTTCATTTCTAAATAATCAGTGGCTAGAAATGCCCTCCAGATACTGAGTCCAGCTGAAGAGCAAGGAAAAATAAGAACGTCTGTCAACGTGGGCACTGCCATGGAATCAAAACACAATGCTTCTGAATTCTCCAATCACTTTCGCACTAAGAGAGCTAACACCACAGAAGGTCCTACAGCTATCTCTTGTAAAACTACTCTATACTTGCCAGTTTAATGGAACTTCAGCTCTACTTGCTGCCTTGCTTAAATGAGCGGAAGAAAAGAAAGGCATGGAGCGTGCTGCAACTCTGTAAATTATCACTGCTTTAGCATGTCTTCTATCATCTATCTGAAAAAGAGGCAGTAGGGAAAGGGCAATAGCTCATTGTCTAACATGTTGAGTTTGATCATCCTTCTTGCCCCTTGACAGCAAGGCTACTGTATAATATTTAGAGTTCACTCACATTTTTTGGTTTATTAAAATTTGTCATAAAGTACGAATAGAAACATAAATGGAGAAAGATGAAGGGAGAAGTACAGAAAGAAGTGAAAAAAGAAAGGAAAAGGCTGCAACTTCCTACTTTTTTCAGTCCAGTAGAATGCAGAAAAATGTCTTAGCTTTTTGCTTTACATGTCTAACTGTCTCAAGCCATTTCAAGTCATTCTAATAATCAAAACCTAAAATTAAAGTTTCATTTTTTGTTGTTCCAGCTACAAAACCCAGAAGTGATTTCAAAACGGAAATAAAACTAGATATATTTTTCTCTTTAATTAGAACAGTCAATTTTGCCATCTTCAAAGCTGACTCACAAATGAAGGACATTTGATGGTCCCCACCCATTTCCATTTTCAGATGGCACTTAAACTGGCATCCAGATTTTATTAGAATCCTGGTAATGGGGTGGAATCCTCTCCCCAAAACTCAGGGGTTTATCCATATGGCCTCTTCTGGTTTATGTTTACTAAGGTCTTTTGACTTGTGACTTTTGCTTGTGGGGCATCATCCTGGCTCCTATTGTTGAGCTTGCACACTACTCTAGGCAATGCAGGGCCTCCTGCAGTTCTTCCACTTCTTGCCAAAGGATGACATCTCACAATCCGAGGCCAGAGTAATGGTTCACTTATATTTTATTGTGTTGCAGAGGAGTTCTTAGTTCATTTTAAATTAAGGGTGGAATGGAACGAAGAAGAGGGGGGATAATCACTGTATTTTTTCTTCCATGCTTAGTGGTGGGGAAAGAGAGAGACAGGGAGTGGATTTTTTAATGGTTTGGAATAGACTCTTCAATAACTTATCTCCTTGATTAATCCTTCTTTAAACCACATATTTTTTTACAATGTTGTACACTTACACTTAAGTTTGCGGGGGGGGGGAAGTACTGGATTTTATAAGTATCGTTGTGTGACAAAAGCTATTTTTTTCGGAGAATAATATTCTCTTGAACTGTTGCCCTAGTACAGTGGTGGCGAACCTATGGCACGTGTGCCAGAGGCGGCACTCAGAGCCCTCTCTTTTGGCACATGAGCCACTGCCGCCAGCAGTGGGTGCATCAGTCCACCACTGCCACCCAAAGCAGGAGCCCCGCCCAGCACAAAGGAGGCGAAGTGGCCGACTAACAAGCTCGAGTAGAGGTGGTAGAGCAGAGGTCACCAACCATTGTTGATTGGTGGACTGGAAGAAAAAGGAGGGGGGCATTATGCATGCATGCATGCACAGGGCCACGAGCATGCACATGCTGCATGATACTAGCTCTGCCCCATTCTTGCATGGTGCAGCGCCTTGTATTTGCACCCCACGGCCTGGCCGTTTTTGCGCCTTGCAGCACGGTGGCCCATTTTTGCGCCCCCGGTTTTTGTGTGCCAGAGCCGGCACTCAGAGGCACCTCCCTGCCCTTCCATGAGGGCACCACAATGCTGATGCGGCCCTGGCACTTTGCGATAAATAAGTGGGTTTTGGGTTGTGGTTTGGGCACTCGGTCTCTAAAAGGTTCACCATCACTGCCCTAGTACTTGGCATATGACAACCGGAAAACATAAATGCATTCTCTGTGCCTTTACAATGGTCAAGAGATATTGATTTTGCAGCATTGCTTTGGTTTTATTTTATTTTATTCATTTTTTTCCATTGTGTAATCATATTAAAAGCAATAAAAATTAAAAAAAATACCTGTAGAGGATATTTGTAGCTCAGGGTTGAACTGTTATGTCCTTGGGATTCTCTTATTCTTTTCTTGCAGACATTTCATTGCCCAATTGGGTAATATCATCAGTGCTAGTAAGAGAAAGGGGTTTCCTCTCTCCACTCCCTTCTACCACTGATGATGTTATCTGATTGGGTAATGAAACATTTACAAGAAAACAGCCAAGCTCAGAGCACCAAGAACTCCACAAAAGTCCCACCTTATCTACTTGGTTATTGTAGTCCTTCTTTAAGGGATATTAAAAATGTGTGTGTGTGGGTGAACACGTGTACCCACATGCATGTACTTAGGCAAAAATTGTAGTTCCATTGCAAATAAGAAGGGGCGAGTGGGGGGGGGGAATGCTGGTTTCTCATGGCATCATTTAGGTTGAAGACTTCCCTCCCTCTAACCCAGAGAGCTTCTTAACTGGAGCTTGATTGTTTTTCATTGTGCTATTTTCTTTTACTTCACCCAATCCCCTGCATAAAACATGCATTTTCATTTTTCTCACTTTCAAACACCACGTTGCATTCATGGGATTTAAATGTCATGTAGCTGGTTGGAAATCACTGCTCATTTGCACCTTGTTAAACCTGCTGGTACTATATGCTGGCATTGCTTATTGTTATGGTGCTATAATCAACAATGATTTGTTTGCTAGTGGGGGGGAGAAGTTTGTGAATTTCTGTACTGTGGATTTTTAATTTTGTAAACCACAAGGGAGTCACCATCTAGCTATGCAGTTAGTTTCCCAATTTTCCTGCTTTCTTACAATTTTTCTTAGAGGTTACCTATTTTCCCAGGACTCAGACATCTTTTTTTGGTCAGATCTTGGCATTTCAGGCCCATTTTTTTTGGGGGGGGGGGAATGAACTGCACATAGAATGACAGAGACAGAAATACATTTTTTTTTAAAAAAAGACTGTTCTTATAATTTGGTTCATCATAGAGCTAATGAATGGAAATAGATATAGCCTTCTTAGAATTCCATTTCTGAGTAAGAAAATAAAAGATAATCTGCTTTTTTATATATATAAGTTTTATTGGTTTTTTTTTACAATAACAACTTTAGTGCCTGGTGCACAGCGTGTTGTCTTGGTTCATAATTTTTTTAGAAAAGAATATACAATTAATAATAGTTAATAAACAATAATAATTAATTTTATATTCCCATAATTAGTATATCAACTAATAATATATTTCCTTGATCTTTTCTTCACCCAGTAGTATTCTCCTTCTACAATATTAAACAAATATAATTTCTAATATTTAATATTTTCCATATTTAAATGATTAAATAAAAACATTTTCTTCTATATTTATAGTAGCGTCCATACATAGCATTTTTTTCTTATCAGCTTATGTTATTTTCATAAAAGTCATCTTATTGATTCACCATAACTTATTTTCATAAATCTTGTTTAAGCTAAATTTCTCCATAATATTCAAACAATTCTTGTCAGTCATATTTTTCCCAGTATTTAACATCTAAATATCCAAATTTTTCATTTAAATATCTCACCCCAGTATTTTCATATTTCATATATTATATATACTACTTATCTATCATAACATATATCCATAACATCTTTCTAGTCAATTTATATTTCACTTCTATTTGTAAAAATTAGTTAAATCACTATATATCCTTTTTTCAGAATTCTTAACCCTAATTTCCCCTCAACATTTCAATCATTCCTTAATCCTAAATCTTTTCAAACTTAATTTGTCTTTAAAATTCAAACTTTTTCTTCACTTACAACATCCTAATATTTTTACATTTTGTATCTTATCAAAAAATACTATATTACTTATATCTCTTACCCCACTTATTCTAAGGTCCCTTTATGGCCAAAGTTATTTGTTTATTTAGCCATATTCAAACAAGTGTTTACTCATATAATATTCCATCTGGGAGGGCGAATCCAGTCTCTTCAGCCCTACCAGATGGAATATTATATCCAGTCTCTTCTCTAATCTTCTTCCTTTGCCAAATTGTTTTCCAAATTAACATTTTCAACTTGTCCAGTTCTTGTATTTTTGTAGTTATTATTAGGAGTAAAGGATATATAGTAAATAGGATGTACACTTTTTGTCTCCCAAACAATGATTCTCCTAACAGTGTCCATTTTGTTAAGTCTTCTTTCTTCTCAGGTTTATTTTGACGTTCTAATGCATAAGATATCTTTTCCATATTTATTGTTGTATCCAAGTCTTGTAAGTTTTTTCTTGTTTGTATTAAGTTCCCTCCATTTGTAACTTCACCAGTTAAGTCATTTTTTTCTAGTTCACATTCTGTTGTCTGGATTGTTTATTCATTCTTTACCATCATTCTTTGGATGTTTTTTGATTGTAGATTTAAGCTAGAAGTATATTCACTTATAGTATCAAAGTTACGTTTAAGCTCCTCACGGTTTAAGTTTATTGTACTTTTTATCTGTCATAGCATTGCATAAATTTCATCTTGGAAAGTATTTGTCTTGTGTTTCTAAAGGTCTTTGAACTTTCAGGCTAAATCTTTCAGGAGTAGATATTAAGTGTGGTTTTCTATCATTTTTTGATGAGTATGTCATATCCATGTTGTCTCCCCAGTAAAATCAATGTTTGTTAACAATTCTTTCTTTCAGGAGTCAATTGTCAATTCAATATATTTAGCCAGCTTAAATCCTTCCTGTAACTTCCCTTCTCAATAATTTGTCATAGATCAAAGTTTTTAAACAGTTCATAAATTTAAACCACAATCAAAGTATTTCTTTTCCTTCAAACACTTTCCAATCTTATAGCCGGCACAGTATGCAATCTCTTCTCTGTTCCTTAGCAACTATCTTCTTAAAGGTTATTAGAGATCATGGGAACAGATTTTTTTTTCTTTTTTTCTGGGCATTGTCTTTAATATGCTATATTCTCATTGTCCACTAGATGTCAGCAAATATTTATTTTCCAGCTCTTTCAGACAAAAGGTTCTTATTTTGTTTAATGTAATTCAATCAAAATCCTTTAGAATATAATTTTAGCAGTTTGTTTTAGTTTCTAAATTTGATCAGATTGTAGTATTTTGAAATTAATTTCAATAAGGTTCTTTTCTCTTTAAAGGTTAATTTGCCACTTCCATCTATGGGGGTATGGGAATGCAGTCCCCTCCCCTCACTTTTGGAGGTTGTTTGCTTTGGGGATCTTTCCCAGGGACTAGTTGTAAAATAAGGGAGAGAAGATCAAATACTCTCACCAGTTCCAAGCATGCTGTTCACCATTGTTCTTGGTAGTGCTCTTAGACTTCAGCTGCAGTAGTTTGGGCTAGCCCAGGGGTAGGCAACCTTGGCTCTTTTATGGTCTGTGGTCATAAAAGAGCCAAGGTTGCCTACCCCTGGGCTAGACCCTGGCATGTGGCTAGCCTTTCTCCTGCCAGGTTCGGAGGCTTTCTCCGAATCAAACGAAGCGATTGCCATCGCTTTGTGATCAATGGGGTGCCCCTCCTTCACAGTCACCTCTACGGGGCAACTTCGGACCCATCTAGGGTCCCCCCGGCACGGTAAAATTAGCCAGAGGTCCGCTCTCACGCAGCCATGCACTACGAGTGCAAATTTGGAA